ATATTTCAGTTTTTCTTTTTTAATAAATCTGCAAAAATGTCAAAAATTCCTTGTTTTTCTGTCAATATGGGGTGCTGTGTGTACATTAATGAGGAAAAAAATGAACTTAAATGATTTTAGCATATGGCTGCAATATAACAAAGAGTGAAAAATTTAAGGGGGTCTGAATACTTTCCGTACCCACTGTAAATGTATTTATTAAGTGAAAAGTATACTGCTGTGTTATTACCTGTATGTAAACTTCACCCAGCTTTTCTCTGTCTGCTCTTTTTACTTAAATTTGTCCTGTAGTCAAGATTATTAATCTATGTGTAGCCCATTGTGCATATGTTTTCTCACACACTGTAGATGCAAGAGATGTATGAATTGATCATGAAGCACAAGCGTGTGATGGCAGAAGTGCAGGTGATGTGGGACAAGGCCGTAAGAGAACACCAGCATGAATATGACAGTGATGAAGAACTTGATGAGAAGGCAGGCACCTGGGAGCATCGTCTACGAAAGTTGGAAATGGAGAAGACGCGTGGTAAGTCTGACCTTCAGTATGGAGAATTGGCTATATGGATGGTAACACTAGCAGCTGTTGCTGCCTGGTCATCAGTTTTTATTGAGGCAACTGGCTCGATCCCTGCTGTAAAAAGCTTTTTTTTCTAAACTTTTTCAGAGTGGGCAGAATCTCTGACAGAAATGGGTAAAGGAAAACACTTTATTGGGGACTTCCTGCCTCCTGAGGAGCTGGAGAAGTTTATGGAGACCTTCAAGGCGCTCAAAGTCAGTTTTCACATTAATTAACTTGTTCTCCAATCTAATGAGGAAGAATGTTATTGTCTTTTAACTGCTGTGTTTCCCCCTCTGTATTAATTTAAAGACTAAAGACAAACAAAGCAAAGTCCTTTAATTAAAGGAAGAGACACTATGTTTGCGCTTCCTAAAAGTCATGAGATTTTTGTGATATTGTGCCAGGCTTTCATTGGTTTTAGGCAATTTCACCAGGTCTCTTAGGCATTAAGTGTCTGCTTTTCCACCGGACATCAGTACAGAATAGGGCAGGGGTCAGTTTGAAATGTCTGTAAACTTGCGTTTATTTTCAAGCTGCTTTTCCAATTCAGAGCAACTGTGGCAACAGCCAACAGAGCAACCCAGATGTCCTTTTTTCCAGCAAATTCCCCCAGGTCCTGTGTAATCCGCAGGAGGAAACAGTAATTGCTGCTTTTTGTAATTTGAAACTCTGTTTATAACTCAATTTGGCACTGTTGTGGAAAAAAATTATTTTTAAATCCCTTTAAAGGGTTCCTAGTTGAAAAAGGGAACAATATGTCACTAGGGATTTTTTTATGTAATAGAAATTCATTGCCAGAGTCATGAGAAATTATTTGAAAGTCAGCAGTGACATAAAACCCAGGGTGTAACTGTTTTTAATTACTTGATTACTTAATGACTGAAGTCGATTTGCAGATTGTATTTTGAATACCAGCAGTGTAATGTCGGGACACATCACCCCTGCTGTTCTAAACAGACTCGTATTACATTTGTGTTCATTCTTTCCCAATTAAATCAACTAAATTACAGAAGAAAATCTTGCTTAAGCTAATTTAATCATCAGTAAATTCCCCACACTCTTTATCTGTTTGTGTATGTGACAGGCTCATTGAGCATTACATTTCCATTAAAAACACCTGTGGACTTATTTTGTTTAACATTATTTTTGTGTTTTTACTAAGAATTGGATTATGAAACATGAATAGTAGAAATAAAAAAAGATATTGATGCATTTAAACAAAGCTTTTAGAGAGATGAAAATAGTATTGAGACAGTGGTAAGTGGTGCTGCACTTGGGTGTTTATGGCATAAATGCACAACTTGAGTCTTCTTAATTTGCAGGAGGGCCGGGACCCAGACTACTCAGAATACAAAGAATTTAAGTTGACAGTGGAGAATCTTGGTTTCCGAATGCTCATGAAGATGGGCTGGAAGGAAGGCGAAGGCCTCGGTAGTGAAGGACAGGGAATCAAAGCTCCTGTCAACAAGTGAGCATCTATTCTGTTACACTGAAATCACTGTAGAAATAACCTGATATTCAACATGCAGGATTGTTAGCAACATCCATATATACACCTGTTCTACACTCAATGCATAAAAATTTACTAATATTTTAAATCAGTATTTCTTACTAGAAGAGTTGGATCTCTGTGATTGACAGCATTGTGTTAAAAAAACAAACACCAAGAGGAGGAGCTGTTCACAGATGGTCCGTGGACATGGATGTCACGTGTGTGTGTGTGTGTGTGTGTGTGTGTGTGTGTGTGAGATAGAAAATAGAGCAGTGCATGAGGGACTGAGCGAATACATGCGCTACATGTGGTACTACATTGAAATAAGATTTAACCCATTTTAAATCAATATGTGGTGGTCAATGTTGATATTGTGCTGGCCTGCCACAAATAAATCAGAGTATGGGAAACACTGAAATTTAAATGGTGTATGTGATCTAATCATACTGTAGCATCACATTTTCCCTTTCCTTATAGTCACTGTGCATAGCCAAAATGTCTCTTGCAGTAAATGAGAACTATGATATTTCTGGCTCTGTGAAAGCTTCTATGTAAATTGTAAACATATTCTCTGTTAATGTGTGTACATTTGTAAACAAAACTTAGCTTTCAAATGTATTATTTACAATAGTACTATTTTTACAACAGTGGAGTATGCAACATAATCAAACAAACAATACTTTTTGAGCCATTGTGCATCTTGTGGGAATTTTCACCTGAAAATGCATTTTCACAACTGACATTTGGCTTAAGTCACAGGTATTGCCAGTAACATTAACATTCCCTCTGTGTTCAACTGGCTCACTAAGTCATGACAGTGTGACAGAGAGCCAATGCATGAAAACCAGAACCTTGTCAGAATGTCTTCTGTGGAAGAGGCAATAGATTTGCTTAACCACATTGTCTGTAGCAGTAATATTTTGTTAGTTCCACATTACCGTACAGACATGAGAAGAGAAACTCAATCTTGGCATCTCTCTTCACTCTAGGGGAACTACAGCTTTGAACGGAGGAGGGTTAGGAGTCGACCGTCCAGCTGAACTTACAAAAAGTGATGATGAATATGATGCCTTTAGAAAGAGGATGATGCTTGCTTACCGCTTCAGACCCAACCCACTGGTAACATCTGTCTCATATTGTTTGTTTTAGCTAATGTCTAATATAATGTACAAATCCATGCTCATTATTTGGGTATAAATAGCTAAAGAAACTTTAACTTAATCAAGTGTTTCCTTTGTCTTTCCACAGAATAATCCACGGAGACCATATTACTAATGTTTGAAGCTTGTTCTTGTTTATCATAGCTTAAAATCTGGTGCATCCAGTTGCCACAGCTTTGCTCAGTTGTGAAACACACATTGTTGCACAGTGGAAATTCTGAAAAAAAAATTTTTTTAAGTGTATGCGTGCAGGGGTGCAACAACATTTTTGAATAGTAGATACACTGGTATGTCCATTATGCTTGAGGTTTAATTTAGTTTTAAAAAAATCTAAACTTTTTAAAAATTGTGTGATCACCTTTTTTTTTGGTACATTTCAGTGTAACGTACTGTTCATACTGTATGAACTTAAATATATAGACATGCATTGCCTGACTCTTTTTTTGTTATTTTGTTCACTTTCGAAGCTTGACTTGATGCCACAGTCCCATCTTAATAACACACTTCATTATTAGCATGTTATCAGCTATATAAGTTTTGAAGAGTAATTTTCCTCACCTTGTTACCTCTAAGTATTCACGGTAAAATGGTCACTTATTGAAATTTGTTGTCACAGATGTGTCTACTGTACTTACCTCTTTATTAGGAAATAAGTAGGCGTTAAAATAAACTCTTTCTCAGCTCATAGCTGGTGTTCCTTCCATCATGGTGATATAATTGCCCTCAGTATTAATTTCTGTGTGGCTTCACAGTGAGTCACACAGTAGCGTTGACTGGGCAGCCAGTGGTGAGGAGGGTGGCAGTTCAGTGAAATCAGACCTACAGTTTCCCATTCCCCAAGGGGGGTTTACACAGGATAAATATAACTCAAAAATCACAGCTAAGCAAGAGCCACTCTGGTGTTGGCTTCATCATCAATCAGAAGTAACTTAAGCAATAGGTAAACCAAGGCTTTGGTTGGTTAGTGGCTTGAGGAAAATTTAATTTGATGTAGGGATGTAGCAAATAATTTTTATTGGGTCTGTAAATTATTATAAAATTGCCAATATCACAGATTTCTAGATGTATGTATTTCTAGGAAACAGAAAAATTGAACTAGTGAATGATTGTCACTTTTATTTGGAAGAACGACTAAACTGTTATCAATAGAGTTGTCCATTAACTTTAAGTAAATCGTTTCACTTACTAATTGCATCAGGATCAGAATGATGTTGTAGTTCATTTGGAAGTCGGGGCATCAAAGTAAAGTATCTTACAGCTCAGTATGTATTTTAGCTGTATGTTTGTTCTGATTATTATCAGTAATAAAATATAACATGAATACCTTGTGGAAGAAAACTGCTGCAGTTGTCAAGAATTATTTTGTCTGCTCCTGGGAATATTCTCTGTAAATCTACAGAAATATGAATGACATTAGATTATTCAGGTAAAAGACTGAATACTTACTGTCAGCGATGGTTGACATTCACGTTTGTCCGCCGCGCGCGGGGAGGGGGGAAGCACTTCGATTTGACGCATTAACGTATGGGCTGTCAGTGCGAGTTGGGGGGAGGTAAACAAGATGGCGACAACCTGAGTGTCAAGAGTAACACGAACAGTTAGAAAAATTAATTGATATCTTGTTGGACCCAAGAGACACATTTGCTTCCTTTCGGACGGACACGCAAAGGGGACATGAGACCTGCAATGGAAACAAGATTCACACGGATATAGGTGAGATCCGATACCAATAGCTAGTTGGGCACTAGCAAGCTAGCAATTTATATTGGAAGCAAGCAGCTTGTTAGCCAACAATACTCCGGTTAGCTTGCGCTAGCTGGGTTTATCTGGTTTGTTTCTCTGGTGAAAGCGTCCGTTTAGGTGTTAGAGCTGTTATCGTTTTGGAGGTGTAAGCCTGATGCAGTACAGGCAGAGAACAATGCTCGTCATCAAGACCTCCGCTGCTCCACCGGTAAATTAAGTGAAGTTGGTTAACGCTAGCAGTTATTAACATCAGACAAAGTTGGCTAGCTAGGCGCTGCACATCCCACCGTTAGCTACAGTTGTGTGACGACGTTTCTGTTACACTGCCCAGTTTGCCCACAGTTAGTCGTCTTCTCTAATAAACTATAATAAATAGTTTTTAAGCAGACTTTTTAGTTAAAGCTCGCAGTGGTCGCTGAGGGTGTTTATATCAAGGTGCCACAAAGTGAGAGTTCATGTTGGCAAGCTAGTTCATTCAAGCAGACGTGGTTCGTTAGCTAACCACATAGCGTTAGCTAACAGTTAACATATTCTTCTACCCGACAAGTATCTACCGCTACTCGCACACTGTTCAATTATAATCGGTTGCTAAATATGTACTTGTGCAAATTATCCTCTTGTCTGATATGAAATGCACAGCAGAAACGAAACCCATTTAACCAGTCAAGTGCGGATGTCTGTACATTATGTCCACCAAAGAGGGTTTCCTTAGTTCAGGTGCGAGCAAAAGCCATGTGTGTATTTTTATTAATGTTTAAATGGCTCTTGTTTTCAGGCACCGGGCAGTAGGCGCCGTGGTGGGATAGGGGACACCTGAGCACGGTGGCTCAGTCGACCTCCAGGAGCGGGCTGACGGCAGAGATTTGACTGATACTGCTGCTTGCATTTGGCTGTATTTCTGTGCTTGGATACAGTCCAGCTGTGCACACTTTGTGTGTCCTGAAGAAAACTATGCAGCATAAGCCTTTGACAAAATGCTGTGCTGCATGGCCTTGAAGCAGGACTGGTTGCCTTTACCCAAGACTGTATGGTATTAAATTCATATACAGAGGTACAGCATTTCAGAATCAGTTTTCTCATTTCTGTTCAACTGCACTTGTCGCAGGTATAGTACATAATGCACTGTATAAAGCATTAATTCGGCACGAGATCCAACAGGTTCTTCATGTCTATCAGAACCTCTTAAAGAGCCCTAATGTTTACAAATTTGGATCGATTCCCCACCCCTGTCAGCTCTCAGGCCTGATCCCTCCCTCTCCCATGTTCATTACTTTGTAAGTCATCTGTATTCCATCTTGTGGAATTCAAAGACTCGACTCAGCGCTGAAAGGCTATCTGTGGAATACTGTCCAGCTATTTGCAAATATATTTTGCACTGTATGCTTAAACTGTGACTGCAGAAGTATCAGTTATGAGTACCGGGGAGCTGCATCATCTTGACTATGAAAATGAACTGATGGAGATGGATACTTTCATCCACCGCTTTGACTCTACAGAGGTGATCTACCAGCCACGGAGGAAGAGGGCAAAGCTGATAGGAAAGTACTTGATGGGGGATCTGCTAGGGGAGGGATCTTATGGCAAGGTAAAAGAGATGCTGGACTCAGAGACACTTTGTCGCAGGGCTGTCAAGATACTGAAGAAGAAGAAGCTGAGGAGAATTCCCAATGGAGAAGCCAATGTGAAAAAGTAAGTGTTTTTTCAATTTGTCAACCTCCGTTGTTTGTTCCCTTATCTCCTTTTCTCTGCAACTAACAACTTAATCAAAAACCACAGCACCACTGACTCCTCACCTGATCATTGTGGCTTATTTGTTCCAAGAGCAGGGTCTTTTCCCTGAGGAATACAGCAGCACTGGCTTGACCGTGATGCTTGATGTTAATGTGAGTTAATTAATTTTAATCATCCCAAGGAAAACTGAATGAAGCTTAAAACAGTAACATGGGTGTTTTATGACTGTGCCACAATTCATTCATTGCTCCATTCTCTAACCTTGCACAGTTTCTAAATTGCAGTTCAAATATTTCACCATCAACATTAATGATACTTGATTAGATGTTATTGTTTTCTTGTTCAGGTGCATGTAGTTTTCTGTGTTATTGCCTTTCTTGCCTGGCACTTGGCCAATTTTAGGTGATTTGAGGAACAATTTATGGGCAAAGATAGATGGTAACCTGGTACATTTGAGATCTGAACTGCCACACAATCAGAAATATAACCTCTGATTTGTTGACAGACTCACCCCAAAGCATCATGGACAGCTAGTAGACAGCTATTACAATTGTTGTTCTTTACACGGAAGAATTGATAGTTTATTTTTACATCTACCCGATCGGGAGACTGCATGAGGCCTTCCACTTGCCCAAACATAGTTTACTTCTAACACTGAACTGTAAGCACACCCAGTAGTGACGTGAAGTTGTGTTCAACACATCCTAAATACACTTATGCATCAAGATGAGACAGTCTGCTGCTGGAGGCCAGAACAAAACATTTCAGCTGTTGTTAAAAGCCTGGATAAAATACAGTTATCTGTGAGCTACATTGTGATTTAAATCAAGAAATATCAGATGGAACAAGTGAAGCAAACCTTAGATTGTCTGCCAGTGTTTATAACTTTGACACCTGTCACTGCTCATTTCAGTAGCCGCACTTCAGTCGGTTCTAAATTGGTCTAAATTAATCTCAATTAATTTGACAGTGTGCACAGTGTCTCAGCTTTTTTTACACACAGAAAAACATGTAGAGCTGTGTCATTTAAACCTTCAACAGTTATCAGCAGAACTACATGAAATCACCAACATATAAGATTTAAGTGCTCTTTTTTAAGGAAAGGAAAGGGAGGATATACCTCTGCTAGATAAAGTGAGTTCTCTTACACTTCAGTAAGTGGGTCATTGTCACCTTTTTGCATTGACCCAGTTTTACAAATGTCACATAAATAAAAAACCTGGTTGCCTTAAGAAAAATGAGGCAACTCTGTTTCATTTGTTTGCATATAAATATAGTTAGTACAATCCAGCTCTCACTACTTTCTAAAGTCTATAATTTATATGTTCGCAAAAACTGCGGTTCTTAATGTCAGTTTATCTTAACACATTTAAAGAAAATGTATTGCACAGTATCGCTTTATTATTTACCTCACCTTTAAAAAATATTTTATGTGGAATGCAACACAGAGACCTTCAAAGTAGATTTATTATTGAAGGAATGTTTGTCAGAAATGTAGGATTCGAAGTTATTTCTACCCTCTCCATGACTCCCCTTCCTCTCTGTGTGATTTGGCTGTCGTTTCTATGCTTCCAGACTTTTTCCCAAGTATTAGAAGTTTTAATCACACAATAATTTATTAAATAATACTCCAGCCTTTCGCTGCAGGCCTCTGCTAATTATAGAGGAAGCTTTAGAAAACTGTCACAATGGGTTCACACAGGAAAAAAGAACTGCAAGATGGTGTTTTAGAGTCTGTCACACAGCAGCAGGAGAACTGAAGACAGCAAACATTATATTGAAGTTTTACATTTCCATCTTGCAAACATTATATTGAAGTTTTACATTTCCATCTTTCTTGCATGTATTTTTAAACAATCCTCCAACTAAAAATGAAGTGCAGTACTTTATTTGTACTTTTCCAAATATAAGCAGCTGCAACAGGTAACAGAAACAAAAGAATAGCTTTTTGAAGTGTGGTTAGTTTGTATTTGCCATTTTACCATGGTTGGATGCACTGTACACATACATGCATTTCATGTGTAGCCAGCAGTTCCCCCACTGTGTACTATTTGTGGGAGATTTGGCTATAGTTTCCCCTTCTCTAAGGTGTTTTTGTAGGCTTCTCTGTTCGCTGTTTGTACATCAGGGCTTCCAGTGTGCGAGTGAACACGTGCCATATACAGACACGAACGCAAACCTCTTTCAAGATGCGCAAGAGATGATACACACTGCACATGCTACGTTTTTGGTCTGTGTACAGTCTGCACGAATTGAACTGTCCTGCCCCTAAATCTCAGAGTGGTCAGCCTGTCATTGGTCAAGGCCTGTCACGATGAAAATCTGCCATTTCCAATCTCCACCGATCAATTGGTGCATCTCTAGCAGTAAGAATCTCTTCTTGAGATTGTATTTATCATGTATCTAGACTGATTTTACCGACCTTCATATCAGAACATTGTTTACCATTCTGATCATCCCAAATATGAATTTTATTTTTTAATACTTGGCAAATGTGTTTCTCAGTTTCTGCTGGCCCTCCAGGGTTGTCACCCTGATGTCAAGGACAGCTGGAAAGTTGGGAGATGGGCAGGATAGGCTCATTGGCACAGAAATGTTCAGGCCTGACAAATTTTTCCAGTTAAAAATAAATATTCACATAAAAGCAGTTAACCTCAGATAGACAACATGAAGTTAAGAAATGCCATATTTCCCTTGCTCATTCTAGTTACTGAAAGCATGTCAGCAGGCCAACAGAAGTTTGCTGTCAGTGTCCACACTGGATCCCTTCAGCCACAGTACTGCTGTGCACTCAGAAGCATTTGCTAGAACCCCAATCCACAATGTGTTGGAAATGTGTGGAAATTGGAAGAAAAATGAACTAGAAGCCCAAAATGGCACTTGAGGTCATTTACAGTGTGTGCTGAGAAAACTGTTCTTGAGATGAACGGCATTTTAGCTTCAACGAAAAGAATAACATTGATTCATTAAACCACTAAAAAATTGGCCATGTTTTAACACCTCAGTATTCATCTCAGTTGGACTTTTAATCATTTGGTGCTGAATCACAGTAGCTAGGACATTTCACCAAAGAATAAGGCTCTTTTAATGTCAAAGTGAGAACAAATCATTTGAAATTTAATTACTAATCAAAACAAAAAGTATCTTTAACAATGACGCACATACGAATGCTTTCAGTTACTTTGTGTTTGCGGTTTATGATAGATGAGTTTGTACAGATTTTTGTTTGTTTTCACCATCAGAGTTTTATTGATTGATGATTAGCTTTTCAGATTTGTGTTGTTTTTGAGCTGGCTATATTTCTGTTTTTAGCACAAAGCTGCAGTAATAGACTACAGCATTGTGTCACTGTCATTAAGACCATAGTAGTGTTTCTCTGTGTGAAATTGGTTTATCTGTATTCCCCATGCTTTTTCTTTTTCTACATTTGTTCATTTGGTGGGGGTCTTAATGTTTCCATCCAGAGGAAGCTGCATCCTCAAGCCTGTAGAGGTCTCTCTGTGTGTGGATGCCATTGTCGCCCCCAGCCTCGACATTTAGCCTCTGTTGAGCATTCCTGTCAGCCGAACACTTTCTGCTTTCACTGTGGGGATGGGCATGTTCATACTGGCATTGATGAAGCAATGCTACTCCCGTATCTACGGAAACGCCCCAAGAAAGCAGTGCCCTTGTTTGGAATGAGGCGAGCATGCGCACATACCTAAACTACTGACTCTGGACCAGCACTGTGCAGATACAGATTTTGATCAGTTGTTTTTGTTGCTGCTGTGTGCCAGAGTAGCTGAGTGATGAAAGCCTTTCAGCTCCGCAGCTTGCAGGCCGTAAACACGCCGTCCATTGGTACACATCTGAACTCAAACTGCAGATAGACTGCAGCAGTCACTGTGCCTTCAGTGGCAGCACTGCCTCTATTTTATGATTTGTTTTATGGAAATAAGCAGTGATGCAGATGCAGCAGGGTTTTCCTGAATTTCAGGCATGTCACCTGCACTTGCTGTTCAGCTGAATAGGGAGGTGAGGTATGGTTTGAAATTAGGTTGTTAATCATTATTTTAGCTGTGTTTTTGTTTTGTTTTTTTACACACAGGACAGGGTAGTGTTGTCTTTTTACAAGTGCTTTGATGCAGCAGTAACTGCTTGTGTGTAAGCAAGAGGTTGACCAGGCCCAGAATAACCATTTGGCAGCAGGAAGGTTGTGTACAAGACAGAGCACTGACACAGCTCATAAAGTGCAGGGAGACACTGGGCATAGGAGCTCCATAGTTGTGTTGTGAGATTGTGTTGAAGATGAAATGGTAGAGAAAGATCTTGGCTGCAAGACTTTGCATTAATACAGGAGTACATTGAAATATAGAGCTTGACTGGCAGGTAAGATGACTGTTCATGTTCAAAGTCAATATATAATTGAAACATTTATGCAAGCATACTGCAGATTTGGATAGATGTACACTTGCACTTTAAAAAGAAATAAGCTGAACCTGACCAAAGTAGTTGGTATCCACTGTTCTTTCTACCACGTTTAATAGAACAAACACATTGCTTTAGATTTTCAGTCTAATGTATTAGTTTAAATAGGGGAATAAATTTTAACCCAAGCCATGGGAAAAAATGTCAATCTAGCACGTTTTGTATCCTAATGACACGTTTCCACTTCTCAACTGGTATTTTGGCCGACTTGTCTTGAGCAGACTGCTCCAGTTCGCTCAGGTTCAATGGGTGCATTCCTCAAACTGTGAATTTCAGCTGTTTTCATAGAGGTTCATTTTGAATAAGATCAGGACTTATAGCGGGCCACTTCAGAACGGCCTCATCCATTCTTGATGCATTTATGTGCAAGTTTTGGGTTTATTATCCAGGAGGACGAATCGTGGCCTGTGAGTGAGACAGAGGTGTCTGACACTGATTTCATTGTTTCCTGCACAGATTCAGGGCACCCTGCACTAGATGAGTGTGTGTGTGTGTGTGCATATATATATATATGCACATACACACACACACACACATCTAGTGCAGGGTGCCCTGCACTAGATGAGTGTGTGTGTGTGTGTGCATATATATATATATGCACATACACACACACACACACACGTGTGTATAAAATCACAAGATTCCTAGCGTTAATTGAAAGACAAAACCTTACATTCCTCTCTATGTGGATGTGTGGGTAGTATGTCTAGGGAAATCTGTGGTTTGTACTTTGCGCTCTACCCACCCAGATCCAAATTCATTAGTGTCCTTGCTCACAGCTCTCTGACAAATGTTGAGTCTCCTGGGAGCTCTGCCATGCTGCTGATTTAAACCTCTCCTCCCTGGGTAGTGAAGTGAACTGTCGGGCTATCTGTCTTTATAATGAGACTTGTGTAATTGACTGCTGCAGTGCTTCTCCACAAGGCTGTTTTTGGTGGTTTGTTGAAGTTGGGCTATATTGACAAATTCAAACAGTATTTATGACACATTGCCTAAGTGGGCAATAATCTGTGTAGAAATCATAAGACTGTATCTTGTTTATTATTACAATATCATTCTTCAAGTTTGCTTTCTGTGACTTGACCTTTAACAGAGTGTTGCATGTTCATGTGTTTTCATTCTTAATTTAAAGGTGCACTAAATAAGAGTTTAAACAGTGTTTGTTAATTAAAGTTAAATTGGGACAGGACATGGCGTCTCTTGGCTATACTATCCCCCTCCATGACACTCTGCTGCCTACAGTTCTTCTGTTACTAATTCTGCTTCTCCACTTTGTTTTGATGGTTGGCCTGGACATAAGCCCACCTAGCAAAGGTTATAAGAAGTGTTTCTTGAACCACGAGTAGTCGTTTTAAACCACCAGCCATTGAGGACTTCTCAGCAGCACAGTGTATGGTTGTTTTTCTACATGTCAGCCCTGTGATAGACTGACGACCTGTCCAGGGTGTACCCTCCCTCTTGTCCAATGTCAGCTGGGATAGGCTCCAGCCCCCCCTCAACCCTGTTCAGGAATAAGCAGTATATATGATGGATGGATGGATGGATGAACATTAGTGACCTAGCATGATCGTAATGTTCCTTTGTGTTGCATTAATAAGATTTAAGTTTGCGAGAAATTCGAGCTTTGTGTAAAGTTTACTTTGTTGGCCCCGTTTAGTACTGTTCCTCACTGTCAGCCTTGTCACTTGACACTGTGCAACTGCCATAGAGCCAGGACTTGTTAATCAGCTAACAGTAGCTTTGGACTAGTGACTGCGTTTTGTACAGTTTGTCCCAACCAGGCGTCCAAGGTTTGTCGTTGCTAGGGAACAAGACATCTGCTTGTTTTGAGTTTGACTAGACCCTCTAGTGGCTAAAAGGAAATGAGTTAATACTCCTTTAATGTCCTTACATATTTGGATTATGGCTACTAAATTGCTGCAACAGAAAACAACTGCTAAATAGTGAAATGATTTTAGTTACACCAACAAACTTATTACAAATGTTAGTAATGAAACCAATCATGCACTCTTGCTCATGCTGTTAGTGCAGTGTTGACGTATGGCACCTGGTCTTTAGCCTACTGTATTAGCCTACCTCTCATGTATATTTACTTCCTTAATATTTTCCATGTTCTGTTATTGTGTCGATCTACAGGGAGATTCAGCTGCTAAGAAGACTCCAACACAAGAATGTGATTCAGTTGGTGGATGTCCTCTACAATGAAGAGAAGCAGAAAATATATCCTTAAGTTGCTACATGAGTGTGCATATGAGCTAATTTGGAAATGTTAATGATTTTGGACAGTGAATGTTGCTGTTGGTGAGAGTTATTTCTGTGCCTAAATATCTTTAGTTATCAGCTTTATAATTGGCTCACTTTATTAAATGAACTATTTGTTTTGGCTGGCAAATCCCCTTGACCTCCTGACTTACGTATATGGTGATGGAGTATTGTGTTTGTGGGATGCAAGAAATGCTGGACAGCGTCCCAGAGAAAAGGTTTCCAGTATTTCAAGCTCACGGGTAAGTTTTTGTTTCTCTCCCTTTCTCCTGTCTTCCTCTCTGTCTCTCTGCTATATTTAGTCTGTGCCTCTCTGCAGCCATTGCTCCAGGCCTAAGTTTAGATCCAGGACTGCAGGGCCTCTGCTGTTAAAATAACTAACCATAGATTGTGTAAATGTCTGGTTGCTGCCAGAAAGCCGCTGAAGCTAAAGTACTAAGTGATGAAGGTTCATCCGACCAGAGCAATAAAATGTTTAATATGGTAATTGTTTTTTCTTTTTTTGTTTGTTTTGTATACTTCTCACCCTACTCAACCCCTGCTATTTTTGTCTTTTGTCAGGTACTTTTGCCAACTCTTAGATGGCCTTGAATATTTGCACAGCCAGGGAATAGTTCACAAAGACATTAAACCAGGGAATCTGTTGCTGACTACAGACGGGGCACTTAAAATCTCCGACCTTGGAGTAGCAGAGGTGAGCTTTTTTTCAACAAATTAAACCTCTGCTAAATCCACTTTTGATCACATATTACTGGTAAGTGGTATTGCTAGATTGGAATATGTTAGCCATATAAAATTGTACACAAAGTTGTAATATATTCAGATGCAGCCAGTTTGAATATATACAGAACCAGCCAGAGGACAGTGTTGCTGAAAAAAGGAAATGGCAATAAATTATGCTGTTATATCATAATTCATATTTGTACACATATTCATACTCCTTATTCCCTCTGTATTTTTCAGGCCCTTCACCCATTTGCAGAAGATGACACGTGTCGTACCAGTCAGGGCTCTCCGGCCTTCCAGCCTCCAGAGATCGCCAACGGACTGGACACCTTTTCAGGGTTTAAAGTAGACATTTGGTCTGCTGGAGTAACACTGTGAGTGGTTAGAGATTCATGTTACCCAGGTTCTCACAAGTCAGAGAAAATATTTAATTTCCTGTCATTTTAAAGGCTTAATTACAAACAAAGGATCTCTTATATGTTTGAATATCAGACAAAATTAGAGATTGAGGCTTCTGTTGATAAACCTTCCATGCTGCACAACTGTATACAATATACCTTTACACTCTGACTGCCTCTGAGATCGTCAAAAAGGGTCTTTACTGCTATTGCACGTTATAAGTTAATCTTGAAGTGCAGGAAATGAATAGACACAATGCCTGTAGAGAATGCAAAGGTACGTCATGCCATGTAGGATGTTGGGACTGGGGCACCATTTTGGTAGGGAGGCGCTGCATTTACCTGGATACATTCCACTGTTATTAAAGTGCTGCTGAATATGGTGTGGGGGCTCCTCCTGAAGTCCACTCTTTTGAGCGCGTTCAGCTCCAGGTTGTTTCGATTGCACCACAGGGCCAGCTGTTAAACCTCCTGTCATTCAACAAGGCATGATGAAAACTTCACATTCTTTATAAGATACAGTAAGGACTGAAAGGTTAATTGTGTAGCTGGGCATGTTATACTCTTAGCCAGATCTGTGGTTAAAAACCAGTGTAGTGCTGTCAGTAATTGTTGACACCTTCCTTCCATTCAGATACAACATTACAACAAGTCTGTATCCATTTGAGGGTGACAACATCTATAAGCTATTTGAAAACATTGGAAAAGGAGACTACACTATTCCCGAGGAGTGTGGACCACTCCTGTCGGACCTGCTGCGAGGTTAGTGTTGTCCTGAGCGAAATCTTTTAATGCTGCTGTCAACATGTCCACATAGTTGCATACCTGCACAGTAGGGGCTGGTTTGTTGTTCAGCATGGGACTAATCCATTAGGTGTCATCACTCTGACTGTCATGCATCATCATGCAATATCATGAATTAATTTTAACAGTGGTATTGAAAGCTTTGCTCTTTGTGTGTGTGTGTGTCTTTTCCATTTTACAAAATGCAATTATGTGCAGCAGGGAAGGAGAATGAATGGGAACGATTTGAAATGGATTTGGCCAGATATGCACTGATAAAATCACAAGATAGACCCTGATGGTTGCTCTGTGATCATTACTGTGTATGTCCAGTAGGTGGTGCTGTGACACTGAGTCATAGTGACTTCTCAGCATGTAAGGCTTCCTCCAAACTGTAGAAATCCCTCCAGCTGTTGATGTAGTTTCCATTGATGCGGAGCCAGCAGCAGAATGCTGAACAGTTCATAGTCAGGCACTGCTTCTCCTGGGTGGAATGCTGCAATGCTTCTGCCACATGTAAAAACAAAAAAGAGCCTGTTCTAGTGAAATCTTTAATTGACTGTATGGCAGAAAACTAACTAACTGTAAAATCCATAAAGCATGCTGGGTAGATTGTGTTTGTAGCAACTAATGAAACCCTTTAATGAAGGCTGAGTGCCTAAGTAGCGTTCTAGCCTTTTATCCAGCTTTGCATATTTTGTCCCTGTTATGGAAATGAACCCACTGCATACCTTACTCGGACTTTTACTCGGGCCATTTTGAACAATGGCTCTGTCACAGTGAATTGACTGTTTAACTGTCAATAGGGAAAAAAACTGCTATATTCTGTTGCTGTTCTAAGTCATTGGGCCTCCATCCCCCATTTTGTGACGTGTGTGTGTGTGATGACGCAGCACCTGCAAGATGGGCAGTCCATAATTACATGGGCTAAAATAAGCGCAGTGCCACAAAAGGTGTCCTTCAGCTGGCACAGCACTACTATCAGCACTCTGCATGCTGCCCTTCTCTGCCCACTGGGAGACAATTACATTATTAGGTCTGGATAGCTACTGCATCACTGCTGCCTTATCACACTGACATTCTTATTTTCTCACAGATTCAGCCCACATTATGATAATTAAGGCACAAAGTCTTCATTACACTGGTACAGCTGCTCTGGTACTCATAGTGCTGTTTCATTACTGTACCTCATTGACTCCTTAAGCTTCACAGGATGTCTTGACACACAGTGATGAATGAGATTATTACTCACATTAATTAATGTTCCTAGAGTGAGCCTAGTGACTCTCTGCTGTAACCCTCCCCTCACTGCTGTGGCCTCCTGCCAGCTTAAGCGCTCCAGCAGAAAACGATGTGAGCAGAGAACTAGTTCAGGATTGCTATGATTAAATTGACTTGTATTGACACTGTGTTTCAGGGATGCTTGAGTATGACCCTGTGAAGAGGTTTTCCATACAGAACATAAGGCAACACAAGTGAGTGATAATTAATACATAGCATACTTTATATCATATATCCCACTGGTTAGAAGGCTGTGTTTATTATTTTTCAGTAAGCTAGTAGTCCTTTTGTCCTGCCACAAAAGGATAAATCTTGCTGGGCAGCATCTTAAAAAGATGCAGTGAAATGTGTACAAATTTAAAGATTGAAATTGTGTGTGATAGATGACATAAGAGTTCAGAAATGGTGGTGAAAGGCTAACCTGTCATTGATCTGCCTGTTTTCTTCATGTCTGTCCCTGGCAGCTGGGTGCGTAAGAAACACCCACCGTCTGAGCCCCCTGTGCCCATCCCCGCCAGTGCAGAGAGCAGGGACCCTTGGCGTAGTATGACAGTGGTGCCCTACCTGGAGGATCTGCACGGTTACACAGAGGAGGAGGATGATGAGCTCTATGATGGAGAGGATGAGATCATTTACACTCAGGACTTCACTGTGCCAGGTAAGTGTGAGCCCAGAACGATTCTTAAAGTCATCCAGTCGGTGGTTAGTGAATGCCTTGTGTGTTGTTTTTGTCAGTTCTCTATGCTTTCTGCTTGGCTTTGAGAAGCTGACTAGCTGTGTGTGTGTGTGTGTGTGTGTGTGTGTGGGTGTGTGTGTGTGTGTGTGTGTGTGCTTCCTCCTCTTGCATAACACGGATCCATCCTTCTTAGAATACCATCACAAAACACTGCTGTATAGTTTAATGTGCCTGGACCACTGCATTGTTATGAGGTGTTCATATTATTTTGTCATCCCTTTTTATTCCTATGTGGCTTGGCTAAAAGAAACATGTCTTTGTATGGTGCAGTACATTTCAACAGTAGCACATACTACATCTTTCAAAGTAATCATACAGTTGAAGCAACACCACTCTGAACATTATCACCTTAATTAAACTGGATTTATTACATTGTATTAGACTGCATGGATTTTAGCTTGGTGTGCTACCTAAACTGAGAACTCATTTTACTGTCATATCAGTGTTGTAGGTTTTTCACTCTGCCTTGGAAATACACAATATTTGTGTATAGATTCAGATTCTGTATTTATCTGCAGATTCACAGGATACCACAGTAGAAAGATTTGATAGTCTGTTGTAGCTCATGGGGGCGCAGTATTAACCCACTGTAGACCCTTATTAATTAATACACTGGATCCATTTCACAAGGAAATGATGTTCTTGGAATAGAAGTATCACGTTGGAAACATTAAAGACTTGACTCAGACTTCTGTGTTGTTACTCAAACGTCTGACTTGGGCTGACTCTGCAGTTCTACACCAAACCACTTCCTTGTGTCAGCAGTGACTTTAGAAAAATTAGACTTAACATCAGCTTCTAAATAACTGTCGTTAAGCTGTGAGCCATGGAAGCCATATATAGGCACTTCACTGGAAAGTGAAAGGCCTCACAGAAGTGGTTTAATTTCTATTAACAATGTGATAATAGTACTCTCCCACTGAACTGCTCTCATAACACTGCTGTCCCCCACTGAGGCTTCATCGACTTTGTTTTTGTCCCTCCCCACTCACTTTTTAGGTGGTTGGAAAGCTCTTGGATTCTGTTTTATCATAAATCCGATTTTCTTTTGTTAAATCTTGTCCTCACCAACCATCAGTGAGTGACGTACCCATCCCACCAATATCATTTTCAGTTAACACACAAGCTACACCAGCAGTTCTTAGGACCAGCTGCTGTATGTAGGAAGAAGCTCCGAACCCCATCTGCTAAGCTCTGATTGGTCACCCTGTCATCGGTTCAGATATATGGGACATCACTTTTGGCATTTAAATCAAATTGTTTTGTTTTTTTTCTAAATTTTAAAATATACAGAGCTGTACCTAGTAATGAACTGAGTGTGTTGACTAGTGAGTAGATAATGCCAGCATCTTCACATCTGATTTAACTTGTTCCCCAACTCTGTTTTTATCTTTTTTTACCCAGAATTCAGATCCCTTATTTGTTGCTAGGCAACAGGTGCTAATAATAAATGCAGTAGTCTTGTTGGGTGTGTAGAAGTGGTGCCCCACATAAAAACCTGCAGAATGTGAATGAAGTGGTTTAAATATAGTCCAGTTGAAATGGTTTCGGAGTGGGAGTTTGAATGGTTTTCCAGGGTTCACTCCCACGCATGGTGCATGTTGCCGCTCACAGGAAGCTTTTTATGAATGAAATAATGGTGTGTGTGTATAGTAAATTAAACAGGTTGACCCAATGTCTGTCTGTAGCAATAACTACATCTCAACACTTGTAAGATTCTCTTCAGTGTTACATATTTAAAGTGTTGCACATGCACACGCAAACACACACCTCTGCACTTGTCACATAAGGTTAAGGACTATTTTTTTGCTCAGCGGATTTCCTGTTGTTGTACTGTAGGTTACGGTTTCTCAGGTAGTTCTCCTGGTTATCTAACCTGACATTTTCTTGGTGCTTCAGACAAATCAACTTTTGAAAGATCCCCTTTTAAAAAACATGTTTACAGTTTTCACAGCCGCAGGTCGGGGGATGATTTCCATCCACGCCAACACTGACATTGTGCATGTTACTACCTCATGTTTGGTGAATAAAGCAGCTGCCAGCGCTTTTGTCAGCACTTGTGTGGAGGTGTGACAGTTTTGTCTCAAGCCTGATGTGTTTGTGTGTGTGCTTTTAGGACAAGTGGCTGAAGAAGACGGAGTTCATGGGACTGCAGACCACAGTCCTGCTGTAGCCAAGCCAGTTTGTGTGAACGGAACAGATGGGGGGTCTCTGAACAGCAAGGCCAAAGCAGAACGCCAATCATCCTCCTCATCCAATCCCTCACGCAAAGGAGTCTCCACAGCCAGCAAGATCCGCAAGCTCTCCACCTGCAAACAACAATGCTCCCCCCCCCACCCTTGCTCAGCAACAGCCCACCTGGTGAGTGTGGACTGTTAACAAAAGCCTTGTGCTTCTGAAGGAAGCCTTTTATACAGTAGAAAGAGGAGAAAGATTAAGATAAGCACCTAATGAAAATGGGTGCAATAGATCCAGATGGAAAGATAGGAGGGATAGAATGAGAAATGATTAGAACAGACACCGATGTAGAGGCGAGTATCAAGCGGGAGGAGGGGGAGGAGGAGTGGAAGAGGAAATCAGGGAGGGGAGAGATGTGTTGATATTCAGCGAACAGTGCTCTGACTCACCACTGCTCCCCAGGCAAACACATGGGTGGTTTCCAATACAGTCACAAAAGCTCGACCTAGACTGGTGCAGTCCCTTTTTCTAATTCTTATTTGGGTTGATCTATATTGTAGTCTTTGGTGGGGTCATCAGCGGTCGTCATTCAGGTGAAAAAATTGGGGCAGACTTATGCTGCAAGAATACACACCAATTTAACAGGTTGTCCTCCTCTTTCAGCTTCCACCCACAGATTGCTCTTTCAAACTCTCGCACATACAAACCACTCATGACGTGAGGCTGTTTGTCATGGCTGCAGTGCAGAGGAGATGCTGTAAATTAATTCGTTCAGGCGATGACTCACACTGGATGAGATAAAGTGGGCTGTGGGATGTTTGTCTCTCTCTTTCACACCCATCAGATGAGTCTTTCTGTACTAACAGCACCAATTATTACTTGTAGTAATTGTCATTCTGTTCAGTTTTATATCTCAGGGAAACTTGTTTTTGGTCCTGGTAAACAAATTCCACCAACCCTCTGTTACACTCCATCTCTCTCTTTCAGGTTTCCCTGCCCCCATCTTTCCGTTTGGAGTCCTCACAGCTGGGAGCGAAACCTGCTGACGTTAATGCCATACCTCCCATACCTCGATGGACCACTGGCCTGCAGAGTCTTTTGATGATGCTGTATGTGTGAAGGGGAGGAGGAGGAGGACAGCATGGAATGTTCTTTTTGCTCTGAGACTGAAGTATTTCTCCCTCCACCCTGTCAACCTGTTTGGAGTGTTGCACCGGACATTACAAACACCATCACCCCTGTACCCCACCCGTCTCCCCTCTCTCACCCTACCATCTGGTTTTTTTTGTTGTTGTTTTTTTTTTTTTTTTGTTAGTTTGTTTTTTGACTACCTTTGTTTTTACAGAACCCTAATGGCAGTTTTTTTAAATGTGTAAAAAAAAAAAAAAATTAAAGAGAGAAAAGATATCAAGTTATGAATAATTCTATATTTAAATCTATGGTGAGAATAATCATGATAGTAGTCTACTACCACCTACATAAAAGCTGCATGCTGTGGAGAAAGGGAAAGCGCTTGGTTTGTGGACAGACTGAAGCCTAGAGCTCCACTGCTGACCTGTTGAGAATTTTTGATTTCCGTTTAGTTTTTTTTCCAATGAATATTTTTTTAATTATTATTTATATAAAATATGTCCCAGACAGGCTGTTTTGTTGGATGATCTTTTCTGTTTAAGCATATTTTTATTATGTAATACAGCTCAGTGGTTTGTCCTGTTTTTTTTGTTTTTATTATTTTTTGCATTTCCTTTACAAGATTACACTGATAGGAATATGACACTCGCTTTTCTCTGATGTTTGCGACCATTTTATAGTCAGATATCACAGTATCGGTGCTACTCAGGTGCAGGCGCTGTGCCGTCACAATCGCCTCTTCACTTTTTTCTAGCGTTGCTCTTTGTTGTGCCGATCACATCAGCGGGAGCCCTGCTTCCCTCTTACGCAGCCAGGGCCATCATCAGCCCCTTGCTGGGAATAGATCAGAGAGCAGGTGAGTCACCGCTCTGAGGAAGGGAGAGCACAGCGCTTCCCACGTCAGCAGGGTCGAGAGAGAGGTTCTCTTGTTCAAGACACGAGCAGCAGCGTACGAGGATGAAGAGATGCCTCATGGATCCAGGCTGCAGAACATTTCAGCAGCGTGATTAGTACATGAGCACACGCTGTAGGTTTCTGTTCTCATGGTAATGATGTTTTGACAGTTTCACACAGTGCATCATTTTACACAAGTCAGGTTACAGTAGCATAAAGGTGGTGCAGTCACTCACTTTCTTATCCCTTTGTTTTTCTTTAATTCAGAAAAATGAAAATGCACCTCAGTTGGTCCCACAAAGTTTAGCCTTTGTCAAACCTGCAAGACATTTGAGTTTTCTGCACTACTTGTTTTACAATAAAGCAGATAGTTTTCCATGAGGACACATATTGCTGCTGAAACCAAAAGCAGTGTGGGGGGGGGGACAAGCAGTACATGTCCTCTGTTTCACAGGTACATCAGTGCTCTCATGTTAAGATGCCATTTGACATGAACGCAGAGGGAGTAATGACACTTGACACCCATAATGAAAGAGAATGTGGAAAGAAAGATTTTCAGTCTGACATCTCATAAATCATCTCTAGAAGAGCCACATTGGTGAATCAAGTCAAAACTTTAGAATCATCATTTAGGCCAATCAAAATTTTCAGGTTTTTTTTTTTATTATTCTGAGGATTTACTGCTCCTGCTCTTGGTTTGGTCAGACAAGAAGAAATTCTTATATCTGGGCCTGAAATTTTTTTTTTTTTTTTTTGACCTTGAAAACAATGGTTTGACAAACATCACAAGAATTTGCTCAGACTGATGAACAAAAAACCACTGGACAAGATTCATTCTTTTAAAATACTTCATCTTTTGAAAACTTGTTTTTTGCCAAAGCCAATACTGTCAAATGTCTTTCTTACTCATGGTTTCAGTCCATTGATTCTGACTGAAGAAAGATTTGTTTTATGGCTAAATTTCCTAAAAGAACTGGGCATTGTGGTTTTTAGCACACATTACTCAAAACTATTTTCAAGCACAGTTTATTATCCCAGCAGGAGTTTCACTCAAGTGACTGTTCACTCTAATCAGATATATGAGGCTTAGAAAACACAGGCATGTTGTCTCAATCTGGGGTTTGTTTGCTTCTGGGGAGGGTCTTTTTATGGGATTTGTTGGCAATATCAAAGTATCTCCTACTGCTGCTTTTATTTAGTAATGCAGAATGAGCTGGGACTTGGGAGCAGACAATGGCACCATTATTCATTTTCAAACTGCACTTTCACCGCCTCAACTTTCTTTTAAAACATCTCTTTAAAAGCTTGAGGCTCCTGTGTCAGTCAAGATATGATCTGTCAGTGTCCATCGCAGTGGCGATGCAACACTTCAGTCGAGCCCAAGGAAGCTTCTTGATACCACCTCCATAATTATGATGCACAATAGGGATAGATGGCTATCAAAAATCCTATAAAAGTAAATGAAATACAAATAGAAAAATGGCCAATGCTCATATTTTCATTCACTGAGTTCTGTGTAGCCTGGGTATCCCATCTGTTTTTACTTTTACATTACAGTGTAACTTATTTCCACATATACTGACATGGTGAGAGAGAGAGAGAGAGAGAGAGAGAGAGAGAGAGAGAGAGAGAGAGAGAGAGAGAGAGAGAGAGAGAGAGAGAGAGAGAGAGAGAGAGAGCTTAAGTTTGTTTTTTTTACAGAGTTGCTCTTCCTTTTTGCCAGATACACAACAGCACACAGACATGATGATGATGATGGAGACAAGGACACTTGAGGATAAATGGGTGACAGAAACTGTGTCCTTATCTTTCTTCCCATCAAAGTGCTGTTTGTAATATTCATATACACATTGTTTGGATAGTGTCATGCTGAAAATTCACAGTTAACTCTGAAAATATTAACTTTTTCTAAAGATGAGACTATATTTTCAAAGCTATGTAATGAATTCATTTGATTTTAAGAATGGCCACCAATAAAAAGGGGCATCACACAGTGAAAATTAAGGTCTGAAATGGACCTGGCTGTCAAGAAGGTGACTGTGTCCTTTAGGATATATCTGTGTCATGATGCATCAGTTATCAGGCAATGTCTGTTTTGAAGATTTGTCCAAATGTAAAAGATTGACCCAGTGTCTAACGCGTGATGACATTTGAATAGCTGTAGACCTTTTTGTTCAGGGCTGTGGAGTATTGGCATTGGATCTGAGCTAAAGGTGATGTGGCATTATTAACAGACTACATGGGATTGAAGCCAGGTGAAGCAGTGTGAGCCACGGTGAGCATATGCTCCGATCCTCCGAGCCTCTCTGCGCTGCGGAGGCCGCTGTAGAGCCTCTCTTCTACTGACACAGCCAGCTTGTCTGCCAGGCTGTCCTCTGCCTGCAGGGAAACCTCAGATAGGATAGCCTGACTGCTGTTGTTGTTTTTATTGTCCACTCTCGGATCCATGTAGCTTGTCTGTGAAGTTACTGTGGTCAAAGACTGGCTAGTTATGTTTTCTGTGTCTGGGTTTGTAGAGACTGGGCAGCTGTCGGCCTCTCCATTTGACCCTGCACGACTAGACCTACTCTTTGCTGCATCTGTGCCTTCACGAATTTTGTTGTTTGTACTTTCTTTGGCACTTCCTTCACTTGATGGATCTTTGTTCTCTGGACTCCCTTTGGCTTCCTCACAAGCCCCAACCTCACTTGCTTCTTCGTCAGCGGCACTCGCAATGCGTGAGAGTGTGCTGTGGTATCTGGTATCTAAAGGATAACCGGCACTGTCGCCCCTCCTCAGCGGCATAAACCTCTGCCTCTCCAAAGATGGGGAGTACCGACCCCCAGTACTTGACCCTGGGTCACTGTATTGCTTGTGTCTTTGCCACTGCTTTCGGAGGTGAACTCTGGAGCGGTGCCTGGAGCGCAGTGGAGAGTCCTGCTGGTCGAATCGGGGATCGTGACGGAGGAATTCATTGAAAAGAGCATCTGTCTTCTCATCGATGCTGTAGTCACGGCGACGGAGACGAGGTCTGTGAGGACTAGAAGGCTGTTGGATTGGTTTCATCAGTGGAGACATCAGCTGTGACTGTGATTCTGGGGCTTTCTGAGGATGAAGGGATTTCAGAAGTTGATCTGGCTCTTGAAGGGTCAGAGACTGGCTGCCAGTTTGAGCTCTCTCCTTTACATCCTCCTCTGTCTCCGTGCTGCCTGCCATCTCATCCTCCAGCTCCTCCTGAAACAGCTTGGCTTCCATGCTCTCACATACCGATCCTTTTCTCCCAGAGCTGGTGAAGAACAGCCTTCTCTCAGACGCCGTCTTCCCTCGGGGAGCCCCAGGAGCCCCAAAGAGCCGCATCTCCTCTGGGGCCTTGGATGGTGCTTCGATAGAGGCATAGCCACTGTCCATCTGAAGGAGCTTCCGGCTACCCGCTTCACCTTCCGCTCCAGCTCCATTTCCCATCTCATTGTTGCCACCTGATGCGTCTCTGCTTCCTCCCTCCAATACCTCATCCTCCCCTTCTCCTTCTGGATCATCATCCAGGTCTTGGGACAAGCAGCTGCCTAGGCCAGGACGAGCTCCTGCACCGCCTAAGGATGAGACACTGTCAGCATCACTGCGGATGGACTCCCTGTCTGTGCTGCTCTGGTCTGAGGAGGCATATTGCTCCAGAGAAGCTCGCAAGCTCCAAATGTCTCTGTACAGAGAGGGAGGGGCCTCTGAGCTTTCCTGGCGAATCATGCAGGAAAGAGATGAGCCTGAATCGGCCCTTTGTCTGGCTTCAGCTCCCAACACCACCTCATCTCCATCATCTACTTCCCCCTCATTCTTTTTCCCCATATCTGCCATCACACCATCTGTCATTGTGTCTGTAGTTTTCCTTAGTATGTCTTCAATCCTGTCCTGAATGGCAGCTTCTTGCTGTGCCCCAAACAAGTCGTCATCTTCTGTCGATTCTAGCTCGACTCCCGTTGCATGTGTTCTTATAACTGCACCAAGTCTTGTTTCTTTTTCTACTGTTCCATTGGTTCTGGCTTCCTTTTGCCTCTGTGCTCCTGTTGGCAACCAGGGTTCCTCTCTCCTGGTGCTGCTGCTACCACCTGCCTCCACCATAGCGTCCAGTTTTAGCCTGCACAAAACAGTCAGTTAATCAGTAAGATAAGATAATCAGTAGGAATTTTACAGTGCAAGTCACTGGATTATGGGAAGGGATGTACCTGCTGAGGAAGACTGAGGATGTATGTGCAGTTGTAGGGTGAGCCAGAGATTCTGCAGAGAGAAACTGGAATTCAATGGTCTGAAAGGGAGTGTGTGGGAAAGGTTCTATAATCTCATCCCTGAGAGGAGAGGAGTCATCTTCAGTGTGATCAGTGGTTTCACTTGCTGCTCTCTGTCTCTGGAAGGGCCTTCGTTTGGGCGATCCTGGTAGTAATTCACATGAAAAGTGATCAGGTTTTCAACTTCATGTTCTTCACCTCGTCACATGCATTTTTTTTTTATTCTAATGCTTTGCAGGGATAGATAAATCTGGCATTCATCCAATCATAACAAATATCCAAACCTTTGGCATCCAGACTGGCAGCCCGGTGACTGCTGTCTAATTTCCACCTCCTGAAGTAAGGTCCGGCCCCCTCGAGACTGGCATGGCGCCGCAGTTTAGAGAAGAAATGTAAAACTGAAGTCTGGCTTGGAGCTTGAGTCAATTCTCCTCTCATCCCTCTTTCGCTCCCAGCCTCTCCCCTGTCTCCGATAACCTCCATCTGACAGAGGAGATGAAAGGAGAGGCGGATGAAGGAAGGTGATGAGACATTTGGGAAGGGCTGAGGCAGACAACCAGAGATAAATCGAGACGGGCACAGGCAAAGCCCTCTGGGGACAGCGGTTTGTCTGTTGCAGTGATGACTGATGTTAGTGCATCAGTAGGTTTGAGCCTGTGGCAGCTGCTTGTAACGGCTTTGTTTGTGTGTGACACAAGTGGATCAATCCGCACTGAAGAATCTATCAGTGTCAATGTATTTCTCCAGTGTGAATGCAGGCTTCCTAAGCTTTCCATTTCACTGTAAAACAGAAATTGGTTTGCATATGTTGGTGAAATATGTTCTTCTCAACTAGATAAAAATGTTGGTTCAAGAGAGGGCATGATAAAAATGTCAGCTATTATTTAACATTTTTTCACAGGCATTCCGGAGAGTCTGACCCTGAAATGTTACAGTTTTATTATGGGCACCCCAGGATGAAATAACAGGATGAAAATAATAATTTGGCTTGAGAGCATAAAGTGAATAAAAACAAGACAACGTCCTGTGAGGCTCTACTTAAGCTAATGTTTAGCAGATATAACAATTACCATGTTCCTATTTTAAAAGTACTGAACAAATAAACATGTTGACCTAAAGATAATTCTATAGACACCAGAGGAGTCAAAGTTATTACAGTTCATCCTGAGGGGAACATGTGTGTATGCATGCACTGGTTCTCAAGACCGCAAATGTCTAACTCATGGTGGCTCTACAGGAAAGTCAATAGGAGTTATCATCTAGGATCCATACAGTAAATGTCCATACAAAAATCCATGGCATTGTGTCCAGTAAATTCTAAAATATTTCAACCAAAGTAGTCTAAGGATCAAACAGCACCCTGGCATTGCCACCCATGGAGCACTGGTGCTAAAGCAGCTACAAGTTTATAAACGTTTTATGAAAAAAACCCTGTCATTCTCAATGAAAAGCGGCAAAAACTTAAGCTCACTGTCTGGGATCGTGTGTGCTGTGTTTTCATGGCTGACGAGCCCTGTCTGTGTCCCTGGTCCAGGACAGTGGAGTGATGAGGGTCTCCTGGCAGACCTCCGCTGAGGCTTTGTCCCATCCAGTCAGGGACTCTTCTCTCAGTGGGCTGGGGAAAGAAAACAACACAGCGCAGAGTTGAGAAAACACACCTGATGTGTTGTTTTTGTATCAAAATCAAATTAAAATCTGCTGCAAATATGAGCCAGAGGGATACATGTTACCTGGTAGATGGTGAGGGGCAGCTTTGGGGCTGCAGTCTCACTGATGTTGATGGTGCTGCTTTCTGTTGAGTCACACTCCATGATAGTGAGGATCTTCAGGTCACATGGGGCTGGCGGCAGGTGAAGGTGGGTCAGCCGGGCCTTTTTCAGGTGGTGGAAGTCGCCTTCAGTCAGGGTATACCTGAAAAGGAGCATGTATTATTAATCATCAAACAGCTTATCCAAATAAGCTGTAAAAATTTGCATTTAGCTCAGATAAGCTATACCTGCGTCCCTTGTCCTGAGTTGTCTTCTCCTGTTTGTAAAGTGCAGACTCGTTGAAGGAGACTCTGCGGCCAGTGGACCCAGTGGACACAAATCGTTCTGACTCTCCATCATGACAGCTTGAAGCTGAGAGGGCGTCTGATTCATCCAGACGAAAGGTGATCTCTGAGTGGCAAAGAGCACAAGGACAAACCGAGGTGGAGAAACAGTGGAGTTATGACAACAGTGGACCAGAATATATGTAGAATATATGAACTTTAAAAAATACACAGCTCTGACCTTGGGTGGGCTGAGAATCCTCAACATAAGTTGTGTTTGTCTTCTCAGGGTCATCGCTCGCTCTGAAAGAGGGAAATGAGTCTTAGTCCTTATGGTCTTTCACAGCTTTTGCTTTCATATTCTTATCAGCTTTGTGAGCTCTGTGTGTTTGCACATGAACCAGGCCTGCCAGTCCCACACAGTGTGCCAACCAGCAGGTAACACCTGCTGTACCTGGAGTAGCGCCGTCCACTCATGCAGCAGCGGTGACAGAAGAGCAGCAGCAGGGAGAGCAGGACCAGCATCCCCCCGGCAAACACACTCAGCAGCACCAGCAACAGCACATAGCTCTCCACCTGGCCTGCCGACACAGGCACATCCTGATGGGGTGCAGCCAGGAAAACAGGTCAGGACCCCCGCAGCAGTGGTTCATTTACAGTAGTCAAATAGTGTGCTGGTGTACAACTTTGGTTATATTATGCTGCTGTATAATTCAAATTCATTCAGGGGGAAATGTTCAGTTTATCTCTCCACCACATGAATTTGACAGCTAAAGTTGCTACCTGCCACAGACTAAGATTTTACATGCAAAACATGTAATCACCATATATTAAATCTGACTACATAATGAGTAACTTCACTGTTAAAACATAAGTACATATGTCTGATAAAACCTCTACTTATATATATATATATATATAAAAGTGCACCATTAAGTCAGTGGTGTACATTAAAATGATCTTGCACAGATGGATTATGAGACACTGGGCCCCTGGGCACAGACATGTAAAGGCATTTGTATTTTGTGGCATTCATGTGGACGGCAAAGTACGAATTTCATTGTACAGGGAAACACGTTTCCTAACTGTGCATATGACAAATAAACACTTTGACTTGACAGAGAGGCTCTGGACCAGGAGACCACCGATCCCTTGGGGCCCTGGGTCTGTTCAGCAATCCATCCACATGGAGAGCTCAGGACATTTTACTGGACTCCTTAGCACTCTATAGTGAGGTTAATTTCTGCCTTTCACTTCTTCTGTCAGCTGCAGAATAAGACTGGCTATTTCTTTTTTCTTGGCTTTTTAAATACCATGTAATTTGCCCTTTTAACACCTGTGAATGAAACGGGGCTGTCCCTGACTGTTTCTGACTTCCTCCCACTCTTTGTTCTTTCCCCTGAATATTTTGGTAAAAATTGACTTGATTAACGCGTGTGCACTTTTGTGTGCTTATTCATTACTACACTTTTTTGCAATCATTTTTTTTTTTTGACCGGTGTCTCTTAGGCTTCTATAAGCCTTCAACACCAACATGGGTCAGTGTCATATTATGCAACCCATGTTTTTGTATAAGCTGCATAACATCAATTTAATTTCCATCACTTGCATTCAGGTGGCCGAGTTGGAGATCATAACTCATTCCTTTAATAGCACAACAAGGCAGAAGCTTGCATGTCTTTGTTGTCTGTTGCCATGTTGTGGCTGCATTAGTCCTGCTGGGATACTTAATGATTCTTCTCCCTGTGAGCTTCACAGCAGTGAGGAGTCTCTCTGTCACAATATGCTGTCAGCTGAATAAGGACTGGAATTAACACTGAAGGACTCTTTTAAGTCACTACCTCCTCATAGTGACTTTTATCCACACACACATTCATATAGGTTCCATCCGGCCGGCTCATGCACACACACACACACACACAAACAACACAACTGCTCTCTTCTCTGCTCTCTGATTAATACTTTTAGTCTTGGCTGAGTGAGCCTGGGGACGCTAATCGAAACGTCAGCGAGACCCTTAATTCAATTTCCCAGCTCTTCTCAATGAGAGGGAAATGAGGCCTCTGCAGGCTAAAAATGGAATTCAAAGGAAGAGGAGGAGGAGGAGGATGTAAACGCACATGAGCAATCCCCACATCAGACTTTCCTGGATCTTCTTTCGAGTCAATAGGGAGTGAAAATAATTGCCAGCAGAAACAGAATACTCATCTTCTGCAACATTTAGTGTTATGTAATGTATGAAAATGTGAAAGGTTGTCATGTGCACAGTTTTGGAGGAAAACCATGAAGCCGAGAACTCCACACAGAGCACACGCCAATGATGATGCAGCAAATTCATTACAGGAAAAATACCCAAAGCCTGCTTTGGCTCAATGTACAGACACTACGCACTTATTGATGATCTGCCTGTTATTTTCTAAATGAAATAAAATGATTAATCAATTGTCAGAGTATCTGCAGATTCATTTTCTGCCAATCGACCTCCCGAGTTCTAACAGATGGACAGGAGATAAAAATAGATGTGTAATAGAAAAGGGTTTGTGTGTGAGAAAGAGCACAAACAGCAGATTTTATGGTGACACTCTGCTTTCACTGTCAAGGTTCCTCAGTAAGAAAGAACATCAACCAGTTTTCAGCTTCAATCCCAAACTCAGCAGGTCACTACATGGAGGAGATCGCGCTGCTGAACAGAAGCTGTCATCTGCCAATAAAACCAGAAGGGGCTGATGATTATATGCCAAAAAGCAAATAAGATCATCCCTTGTTTTTCCTTTTCATTGAACCCCAGACCTGTTTCAGTCCAGAACATGTTAACATACATTCAGCTGAAGCCTATGGGGACAGGCATTTTATTGTTTGAAGCTCTATATATATGTCTAACAACTCCACTGCAGCATCATGCACACCTTCAGTTACATGCATGTGGACAGCTCATTCACACATACACAGGATTTGTCATTGTGTTTGTAGCTTAACAAAACCTGCTGTTTCCCCAAGCTCAGCCAAACAGGGACAGCAACACACTCAGTGAGCTGGAGCAGTGAAGCCTCTCTCCAGTCTTTACACCGTGTTTTTCAACTCTCCCTCCACACAGACAGCACTAACTGTCCAATAATCACCACTGCTGGTTCAGATATCCTCACGTCCTCTGCAGGGTACATGGCACACAAATCCAGCAGCAAAGAGGTTTTCAGTCAAATCCTCTTTGGATTTAGACCAGGCCACCCACTATTTCTGTACCTGGGGTATAATACCTGTCACCGGAGTGCTGTGCTGTGACCCAGCTTGACTCATAAAGCACTGTGGAAGAATTGTCATTCACCAGGCTACAGACGTGAAGGTACGGACAGTGTGAGATGATGGTGTTGGATGCATAAGTACTCACTGTGGCATTCTCATTCAGACTTGCAAGAACAGGCAAATCATTGCTCATGGTCCAGGTTGGCGTGAGTGAACCCTGCGGAGGATGAAGAAAGTCAGACGGGGCTGTTCTTTCCAAACATTACGACAGTTTCTCTTATTTCAGGCAGAAAGCTCAAACTGCAAATGATTTAGAAGTTAAGAGGCAGAGAAAGGCAGAAGAGCTGGCACAGTGCAGCTCGTGTAACATCGGCCCATGATTGCATTCCTGTAGCATGTTCTCTCAGCATGAGAGAGTCGTATTTTATGTAACATTTCATGCTTAGCCACAGCCTGGGGTAACTGTGATAAAGACAAAGCTCTGAATAGCAACAATGCTCTGACAACAGAGAACTACACACACAAACACACACAGTGCATATGTTAAGTCCTTCTTCTATCCAGTTATCTTCAGTGAGAGTCAGTGGGTCATTTTGCCATCATGGAGGTGTGTATGTCTTGAAGGTTTCTCTCTCACTCTGACCACACATTTGCAAACACAGCAGCCAACAGCGGTTTAACAGATGAGGCATACATAAAAATGTGATTTTATAAAAATCTTAGAGTGCACACTATTCTGCCTTTTTTATTTATATTTTATGTATTTCCTTTTTTTTACATGACTACAGTCTCACTCAGGAGAGATGTGATACCATTGCTGATTAAATAGCAGATAGTTAAAGTGGCTTAAAGCTGCCTTGTATAAAAATGAAATAATATTATGTATGTATGTTGTTCAAGATGTTCAAATAATATCCTTGTTTGAAGTCTTATGTTTTTATTTTGTTGGAAAGCCACACTTGTAATAATCAGCTTTAAAAGGTTTTAAAGATGAAGCGAATTTAAACTCATTTCACTATATTCATCTGTAAGAATGGCACTATGGAGGAATTCCAGTTTAAAATATCCATTCATCATTTACTTACTGAGCTGCTTGTGTTTTATCTATTTCTTCTGGACTACCTATGAATCTCCGCTTCACTACACCTCCCAAACTCTGCAACGCTCCTTTCCTTAATGCTTCTCTGACATGAAATTTTAGAATATGTTCTGTTAACCAATATGGCAAACTTGTGCTATGAAGGCAAACAATGCTCAAACCCACACAGGCTGATTTTTAAACTCTAGTTGAGATTTCAAGGTTTTCACGAATAACAAATGTGTCCGGCTGAATTTTAGGGGAGATGTGGTAAAATGATGTGCAGGATGTCTAGAATGCTCTACGTCCATATGAAGATATGGCACAGCCATTCAAAACATGCATATTTTCCCACCCCATTGCTTATTTTGTTAATCATCATAATGGTGATTTTAAAAATAATGGAGCTCCTATATAAACTGTACATTTTGTTTGTTATCTTATTGTGATTATTTGTAAAATCTGCATACAGTATATGTTATTATATGATTTAAAGTAATTCATTCATCCCATTCGTTTAGACTATCAGCCTCTTTCCCATTAATCCAATTTCAAGGGCATTTGTCAGTATATAATGAATAATGACATTGATAGTCAAACTGAAAACACTGACCCCGACTGGTGAAGAAAAATAAATCCGAAGTGCGTGTGTGCGCGCGTTAGTTTCCAGCGTCTAGTGAGATGTTACATCCCCACGTCGTCCCACCACAGACAGCAGGCGGACAGACGGATGGACGACGCGGCTCAAACAGCATCAACATATTTCCTGACTGTAATGGTGCTGATACAGCTTTATAAACACCGTGAGTGGTAGCCTATGTTTACTGAAGAGGGGAGAGGGGTTGCTGCGATTCACCCCGACGTGAGACTGGATGACGACATGCTCCAGATGTGCTGTACCTTGTGGTCTCTTTGGTCTTCCCTCCGCTCTGTGCAGACTGACTACAGAGACTCGCTGCATCCGGCGGCGTTCAGCAGCAGCAGCAGCCTCAGCCTCAGCATCAGCATCAGTAGCATCTTCCCCTCACCTGCGAAAGCCCGTCAGCCTGTCCCACATGTCTGCGTCGTCTGCTCTCAGCCTGCGGGGAATAAATGACCATTAGTCATACAGGAGCCTTCATGTGCCGGACCCGGGCGCTCCGCCGTGGTCTGTTCGCCTCAAACATGTCTCACTAACTCAGATGTTGCGATTATCTAGAGTCAGCTGAGTCACCTATCTCACATTTTACATAATGAAATAGTAGCGCATTACACGCCTGTAGCTCCACGAAGTGGTCCTGGTGTGAGCTGGACAGAGGTCGGACTCACCCGGCTGTAGAATCCGTTTGAAGCGGTCCACGGGCCGCCTGCCCCGTCTGCATACTTTAAATTGGGCTGCAAATAAAGACTGTAGTTATGAATGAAACCACACGCGATTACACACACCCACCGCCCGCTCCGGACGCACCACGTGACCGGCACTGATGATGGTGGTGGTGGTGATGATGTGAGATGGAGGAGAAAACCCGTCTTCATTCACGGCAGCCTGACACTCATGAATGGCAGCTGCTGACAGGGCGATTGATTAGTCATTAGACTGGAACTACCATCGAATTAGGCCGACTGTAAATATGTGTTTTAATAGTTTTGTCATTTGCTGCGAGACTTTCCTTTGTTTCCTGACAAGAAGCAGGAAGACAGATAGCTAGTGTAGGTGGTGTGGATGGCCTGAAACCCCATGTTCCACCACCTGGTGGCAGTGTTGCACTGTTGTTTTAAGGTTAAATATAGCTTGAGATTGAAGTTTTCATGCAGTTTTCCTTTTTTTTAGGGGCCCATGATGATACTCGTAGTATGCTTCCAGATACATTTCTGTTTCTCCTTCTAATTAAATTGAAGTGACATAGTTTATTCCATAATTATTGCTTTTATAATGAAAGGTTGTGTTTCATCGCATTACCACAGACTTAGTGACATACAGTAAACCTGTGGCCACATACAGTTTAGTTTCAGGTTCTTTGAAGATGGAGGTACAGCGGGACCCCAGAACAAGTTCTTCCAGTCATGTGGAGTCATCAGTAGAAAACAGTGGAAAACTATCCCTGTATTAATTCCTGGATAAATATTGTATAAATTATTGGTGGGATGTGTCTATCTGGGGCAATATGAGGCGTTAAGACTTTGGGTGTGTTGATCAGAACTATCTGGCAGCCTCTGACCAGTTACATGTTGTTATACTGTTTACAATGAAAATGTAATTAGAAATATATAACAACTAGAATTACAGCGTCACGGTTGTATGTCTCCTCCAACCAGCCAAATTCATAGCTATGGGACAGAAGTGAGGTCACTGACCTTTGACCTTTGAACACCCAAATCTATTCAGTCCAAGTGAGTCCTAGTGACTAATTTTGCCAAATTTGAAGGAATTCCCTCAAGGCATTCTTGACATGTCGCGTTCGCAATAATCAGGTGGATGGACAGCATAATGCCTCCAGCTACAGCGTGGAGGCATAGAAAGAAGTAAAATTTTCAGATTACTAAGGCAACAATCGCTCCTGTGACAGTGGCTCACGTGGTTGTAAATTCATACCAGTTAGCAGCATTCGTCAAACCCTGTAAACGTCTGCACATGAAGTTTTAAGTTATTGTGGCTGTTGCTGTCCTTTCTTTGTTCAGCCATAGAAACTGCACATCAAATACTGACCTATTCTACTAATGACATTCAGTATGACTTGATCCATCTTTGTGGGAGTGATACAGCAGTTCAGAGTTTAAGCCTTTTTTTCATAATGTGTATTTATGCTAGCAATCATACCCTCTGCAGTGTGCACACCCGTGTGATGTAGAAATGAAGGAGTAGCACAAATAGGAAAATGCCGTAGTAGCAAAGTGGGAGCAGGTCTAATCTGTGCCCATGAACTAACAGAAAGCAAAATGCATCAATTTAGTTTGACATTTGATGAATATCTTTTATGTTTTCACACTAAAACTGGCTGACTGAAATAACTGCATACAATGGTGGGTAGAGGGAATCAGCTGAGAGCAACCACAGTGAGCTATATGTATGTATTCAGTGGAGTTAACTGATATAATAAAGTCTGCTGGAAGAATGAGGTGCCACCGAAAAGTTTGACAATTTGCTTCCTGGCTTCTCCAGTTCACATGTCAAAGTGTCCTTGAGCAAAACATTGAAACCTAGGTTACACCTGGTGATATCACTACTGTGTAAGAGCATGGGAGTGCAAATGGGTGAATGGCAAATAGTGCGTTTAAATGCACAGAAAGGTGCTATAAAAGTATAAGACCATTTTTCCAATAAAACCACTGCTTCAGGAATGTAGCCGCATATATGTCATGTCTGTGTAAACAGTTATGACCTTCCATGTCCTCTCAGGCAATGCGTCTTACATTCCAGTACATTTTTGGATATTTTGAGCACTCTACTCCCTTTTCCACTTCTGATCTGATTTACTCAGAAGGCCTGGGAGCTCTCTTCAGACATCTGAAACATAAACACAGCATACGGTTTTCAAGGACTTGAGACTTATTTATACAGTTAAGAAGGACAATGCAGCCACTGGCATTGTCTCTACAGCTGTGAGCTTTTTATACACAACAATGTACAGTATACATATACAGCATGTGACTATATGAATGCATTTATTATATTATAGGTGTAACACACAAATAAAAATAAAGTTAGGCTTTTACTGAATACAAGGCCATATAAATGACGTTTAACTTTTAAACTGAAAGAGGAAGAATGTGTTATTTACACAGAGTCACTTTAAGTTACTGTCAAACCTCTTGGTCCTGAACCATTTCTACAAACTGTAGGAAGATCTTACAATCTCTACCTTCTTAAGAAACTATAAAGTTACAGCCTATCACTTTGTTGAATTTGCTACTATCACTCCTGTTAATATGAATGGTTTGTTGTTTTTGTTTTGTTTTGTTTTTTGCTTATCATGAAATTTTATGGTAATTTGAATGCACTGTTTGTTTTTGTGCTGTTTTGTATGTTCCTGTTGAGTTTTGTATATTTGCAAAGGCCCATTGGGTGTAAATGCTGTGGTCTGTGGCAGTGGTCCACTGTATATACATGTTCTGGTAAAAAAAATAAACATTAAATAAATAAATAGTATTGGGGATCTGTTGTGCTTTATAGAATATCAAAGAACAGATGGCTACACTAAAGACAATGATTAGAATTCATTAGACTTGATCATTAACTCAGATTCAGAAAGAAACTAATCCATTTAAGATCGGTGAAAGCCATTAATGCTTTCCTTTGTCTGTGTTTCTGCATTTTCAGATGATAGTCGTGTGATGTTTTTCTCTGTCATCAACAAGGTTCTACTTCAAATATTCAGGAACAATTCCTCACATACAGTGAGAGGTTTTTATCTCCAACATTCCAGACACACTAAAGTGTAACATACCAGAGGACTGAAACATCTGGGAAATGATGCCAGGAGATGCCATGTAGGGGTGGGAGGAATGTGGGCAAGAGATTGAACATAATGTGTATGTGTGTGTGTGTGTGAGACTGGACGGCTGACGTCAAAGCTGCGTCTGGGCATGCTCTGGAGAGCAGGACATCCTGTGGAATTGTTCTCGACAAGGCCCAAAAAATGCAAAGCAGCAAAGTCTCCCTTCTTGCTAGTCTCACTGTAATGCTGGAGTGACATGCTGCATAGACATGTCAGAAAGGAATGAGGGCAGAGGAGGATCGGGGAGGACAGGATGTCCATCAAAATCTGTCCAAGACATTGAGCTCATCAAGCGACTTAGAAGGAAAAAAGACTAAAAAAGGGATCATTTCCTTTTGAATTCCAGTGAAGTTCAACAAAGATTAAGACAAGGTTAAGATAAGGTTAGGGTGTGTGTGTGTGAGTATTTTTAAGGCTATTGCTCATGAACTCTAAGACAAATACAGATGAAAATGGTCTATTCAAACAAGGGACACAGAAGAGGAAAGGAGACAATGAGTAGATTTCCACATACTACATAGGTTGGCTGTTTTCAGACATTAAAAACACAAGAAGACAACACTATTTCCGCATTAGAGAGTGCGGTGCGGAGTGAGTGTGGGGGTGAGTTGAGGGAGGGAGGTAAGTGATATGGGAATGCAGTGACGCAGGCCGGATAGAGCGGTTGTGTTGTGAATGCAGCTATTTTTAGATGCAGTGAGGAGACACATATTAGCTGTGTTCCTCTGCCCTCCCCGGCTTCCCAGCTTCCTGCGTCACTTTACTCCAAGCTGGCCCTCTCCTCTTAGCATCATGTGACAGGTGCAGCCTAAGGCCTGCTGCAGATTAGAGGTGTGATATGATTACTAAGAAGCTGAGGATGTGACAGACAGAATACAAAGGATAGATGTTTCCTGTCGGTGTCTCCTCCCACCGGCCGAAAAGTGAAGTTATACCACAAGTTGGGACAGGATACAGCATGTGTGGCCTTAATGAAAAGGGGGGAAAAGATCATTACATATATGAGAGAGAGAGAGAGAGATTTGCATTTAAATTTAAAATGTATGGTTTTTGGAATTAAAAATATAATTTACTTGCAATCAAATTATTAGGCCACAAGGTCTTTATTGAATATTTTAGGGACATTTTAACAGCTTACATGTCTCAAAAATATTCAGAAATGTAACACATGTCTTTTGATATAGCCTATCTTATGAGGTTAGTTTTATATAGTGATTTCATTTTATTCATAAAGCACAAAGCCACAGATTTTCCTTTGAAGACTTTATCATCAGTACCATGTATCCAAAAACAAAAAAGATCAATAAAAATTGTGAGAAAGAAAATAAAGGAGAAGACCTGTTGTCTGGTATTCTGGATGATAAGCAGCTCCGGTTGTGCTTATATAGGCTACTGGTTTTATGATAAGTTCCACAGCTTAAAGTGGGCGTTACAGACACATACAGACCTATAGAGGAGTTATCTGTTGATGTTATAATGTCACACACCGCAGGGGAGGGGGATCCCACTATCAGTGTGTCATGTCAGAATAACACCCAATATTGTAACAGGGCTGTTTTAATCATATTAACCAGTGCAATCTTAACAGTGAAGGATACTATGAGTCATTACAGGAATGATACACAAGTATTATTTATCTTGAATGATGTGAATGATCACCAGGCAATCTTTCAAATGACACCAAAGCTTATCATTTAAATGAGAAACCAGACAGACATTTTGAAATGGTGACATCCTGTACAAAATCGTTGTGGCACTGTACAGATTGCATCACTTATGAATGGTGAGTAGGAACAGAACAGGGTGGAGCCATGCGGGAAACGAGCGTTCTGATTGGGCCGTGCAGTCTTGGGGCTGTCGCTGATGGGGTGTGTAATCAGATGGGCGGGGCTTACGCTGACAGGGTTGAAGAGTTTTACGCCCGGTGGAGTAGAGCTACGTCTGCGACGGCTGCACAAAGGACCTCTGGCTATCTGTTGTGATTAAAGCGTCCTAGAATAGTTTTTTTTAGCATTTAAAGATGCTTTCAGGGTCTACTGAGCAATGATGACAATCATCAATAAGAAAAATACTGTCGCCTCTCGCCTTAATTGATTCTAGCGTCAGAATCATTTTTCAGTTTTACCTTTCACAATCAGGCAGCTGAATGGAGCAGCAGCACCAGCGGGGTCTATGGAGCTTCACCCCGGCCTTGTCTGCAGCCTGGGGGGCTGGGCTCTCCACCGGGGAGCCCACCATGCGTCTGTGTATTACCTCGACCACCGGCAGCCCGGTGGAGCTCTCGGTGCCCCGAGGAGAGACTGTGGAGGAACTGAGGACACGTATCTCCCTAAAACTCAGACTGCAAACAGACAGAATTGTCCTCCTGCATAAGGACAGGTGGGTTGTTTTGTTAGACTGCATGCTTTGCAGTTCGGGATGTTTCGGTGAATGATTTTGCAAGTTTAGGTTGGCTGTTTGCCCTGGTTTATCTTTTATTCCATATAATTTGTAAACTAGGAAACTGACAACAGGAAAACTCCTGGACCTCGGTGTAGCAGATGGCAGCAAATTAACCCTGGTCCCCGTCATCGAAGCTGGTTTAGTAGTAAGTAGTACGTGACTTCATGGGGAGAAGGGTTTGTTTTGTCTTTAGTTTAGGTTAGTTTGCCCCCAAAAAGAAAAAATAAATCAATCCAGTGCTTAGACTACAATATAGACACATACCAAGTTATGCATTTTTAACTTCCCTAAATGGTATAGGCAGAAGCTACTGCTATTTACTATTTATCTACAATTACTATATACAGTACTCAAATATCACAATTTGTATTTAGCTTATTAAAAAGATATAAATCCAATAGTCAAAAAGAGAGGAAAAATATAATCAGCATTTTTCTCTCACAAATTTATGTTCACATATTAAAGATCAATTGACATATATTCACTGAGTGAGCTATCTTTTATCAGTCTTTTACTAAATGTCTCACCTGTTCAAATAAATCAGCTTATTCTACAAATTTACCCTGATATCTGTTTTTAACAATTGCTTTTATTTTAGGCCTTCTCCTCTCATATCATATTTATTTTATCTTATCTTGAACATCCTTTGGATATTTCCTTAAATTAAATTGTTGACAATCTTATACCACAGTGTTCGACTGCCAGAGCTGAGAGGACTATGATGGACACTTTGGAAAGTTTAACAGAAGTCCAGGTGAGAGTTCATTTTGTCTAAGAGAAACTTGATGAATGCATGAATGAAGTGGACAAAACATGCACAGTGTGCTTTCCCCATAGTTTTTGGGGTAGGCTACAACACATCATTTTACCAGTTCATAAAAACTGGTTGATTTTTTTTTCAGGTAATTCAGTGGGTTTTAAATGGTTTATTGATAAAGAAACATGAGAATTTCAAGGACTCAATGAAACATCATCAATCGAACAAAATCTCAGTATGACCAAATTTGGAGAATTGTGGTTTGTATGTATGGAAAAATACAAACACATTCTTATTTTGACATTTTAACAAATACATGCATACACGTGCACGCAGCATTGTACCATGTAATTACACACATACAGTCAAACGGTTCATGAAATGGAAGAGTAATGTTGTCTACAAGAATTTCATGAAAGCAAACACAATTATTTATGGTCTGCATTTTTTTTTCTACAAGGGTGCTTCATTCATTAGTTCTGTATATAGTAGGTTGAAGTGCTCCTGGAAGTGTACATTATTCCAACCATTCATATTTAGAGGATATCATAAGAAACAATGGCTGCATATAATACAGAGTACGTACTTTATTGATCCCACAGTGGGGAAATTTCTGTGTTACAGCAGCAATAGAGAACAACCAACATAACACCATAAGAACAGAACTGTACAGTGTATCCAAGATGGGGTTTTTTTTTGTATTAACACAACCTGACTTTGTTTGGCTGCACTGTAAACAGATACACCAGCTGCTCTATTGTATATTTGACCAAGTAGCTGCTCAGTTACCCTTTACAGTTAAACCACACTTGCTGTTACCACCAGTAACAACAAAGTAGACTGAAGTCTTAAAGGTTATAGAAATTTTAAGCCTGAAGTGTTTTTTTTTTATCCTGACTGTCCTGCAGATCAGTGACTTCCTGTCTGGGCGCTCACCTCTCACCATTAACCTGGGTTTTGGTGCCAACATGATGTCCTTGCAGCTCCAGCTGTCTGCACAGGATGTGAAAGAGCTGCAGCAGGACGGCGATGTGAGAGTCAGGAGCAGCAGCAGCAGCAGCAAGCAGCAAATTGTCCTGCCGACGACTGGCAGTAAGAGCGACCCTGGCTCTGCCTTGGCCCGGTCATCCACCAACACCACGGGGTCTGCTGCATCACCTGCTTCACACACCTCTACTGCTGCTGACTCCACAACCCAACGTAGTGCTCAAACACCCAAAACTTCATTTAACTCAACAGCTCCTACCTCCCACTCATCCATCATCAACCCTGCTGTAAACTGCCATCACCGCTCATCTTTGTATCAATCCTGTCCTCCCAACCCTATATACACATCTTCCTCTCTTCTGTCAACCCCTTCTTTACCCTCTGGCTGTCCACTACAAGCAACTACACCAGTTTGTTCACCTACTCCCACTGCCTCCAGTCCTGGACCCCAGAGCCCAGAACCAGCTTCACCCTTCACTAAGGTTATTCTTAAATCAATGTATTTTCATGGTTTCACCACAATCCATTATTAGCTAATATTAGTAATATGTCTTGCACAACAAGTTAATCAAAAGTGTCAACAGTTTTACTAGATTTTATTTTTCATAATGGTGAAAACAGGAGACAAACTTTTCCTTTTTTGTTGAACAGAGTAATGCTCATGCCTCATCCGCTGCAGAGCTGTGCAAGCAGCCAGGAGCAGTCATAGAAAGTGTGAGCCACTCTCCTGGTGTCTTCTCCGGGACTTTCTCTGGTAAGTCTCCCTCTGTATGTGAGCTGCAGTGGCCTGAAGATAACAACATGTCACAAGAAGAAAGAACTTTTCATTAGTTTAGCTCAGCTCAGCAGCAGCTCTGTGGTATATCTTCAGTGTCAGCTTGTAGTGGCTACTTGTTTCCATTTCCATTTATCCACCTCTCTCATTGTTCCCTGCTCTCTTCTTGTCCAACCAGGCACTCTGGCTCCTTGCAGTGACAGTGGTAGCAGGCATCCTCGGCGTGGCATCACCATCATTCTCCACATTCTTAATGACCTCCTCAGAGCTGCCTACTACCACCAGGGGGCTTCACCCACCCTTCCTCAACACCACTGTTCTGCTTTAAATCTTTCAGTTAGCCCAGTGCTTGCAACAGAGGAGTCCGCCATAGCAAGAAGCAAACCACTGGTGACCCAGAGGGCAGGGCACTTCAGTAAAGCTCCAGGTCAGTCTGACCAGATTTAGTTTTTTTTTAAAGCATAGCAGGGATAATTCCATGAGTTAGAGTAAATTGAATTAATCACATATTCACTTTATGAAATAAAATAAATATCTGGCACAGGACATCACTTGGTGAAGGATTTTATCATCAAATTTCTACATTGGGCCTCAGTATAAAGTTATTTTCTCCTCTTTGAGACTTATACCACAAACAATTAAATTCCACAAATATACTACTTATGATAAATATAATTATTCATGTCAGAACATACTAAACAGTACATATTTGTAGCATGTGCTATGTTCTTTCTTCTCTCTTGCAGGTGAGGAGAGTCACTCCCTCCACTCATCCATGCAGGAGAATCAAACTTTACACTGTAAACTAGAGCACCTCCAGCTTTTGATGCATCAGAGGCGTCTGCGCAGGAGGACTCGTAGGAACTCACACCTCTCATTAACGTCTCACCCATACCAGCATAGCCCCTAGCCTCCTGAACAGGTAATATACCTTCACTGTGATTGCTGTGGCAGCTTTCTGATAAGTGAAGGCGCCTCCCTCTGCTGACCAAGACACTCAAGGTACTAGAGTTTTCTGAGATGAGGATGCTTTGTTGCTGTTTTCACACTGTGAGCACTTCTGAAGAATGTAAGCTGAAAAGATCAGAGAAATCTGATTCTTGGCTGTTTCTATACTGATCATGTTATTTTATCTGAATGTGTTCCTCAATGACAGTGGTTCTCACTGTTACAATATGTAGCATGCATCACAAAAAGTTCAAAGTTCATGTTATACATTTTGATGTTGTATGCAGACATGTTTATGTATTCCAATGCCTTAAATGTATGAATGTATTGAATGTAAACTTTTTTTCTGTGCAGAGGATTTTCTTTTAAAATGTTTTACTTATGCAATATTAACGTGAAAATACAGAAAAGAAAGAATATGTGAAGAATGAAGAAATAAACTGAAAAAAATGGACATATCTGTGTCGGTCACTTTGCAGACATGAAACACATATAACATTGCTGCCTTCATCTACATCTGGTCACAGTCATTTGGGCACAAGCACATTTCATGTAAATTTTCATCATAGCTTCATTTAGACATGACAGGACTTTTATTTTCTTTAAATCTGCTCACTCAACAGCTGAAAAGTTATGAAACAAACAGGAAGGCTTTCAGTTATCTCAAAGGCTACACAGAGAACTGGTCCAGTAAAAAATGTTGCCATGAAAAAAATCGTTTTTAATCACTTGCCATCTCATCAACAACCACTATATTTTATTATTGGCATATCATGAACACCACTGCCATCTGTGCCCATGTGACAGCGCTGAAAGGAAGAGAGTAGCTATGTAGGTAAACAGATTCATCAATAGTTTTCTAGAAGTTTGGCAGTTGCTAAATTAACTTGTAATGTACACACTGTTGACATAAATTATGAAAATGAATGTTTTGAAAGATACATATAGGCTTTAGGTTAAAGTGTCTGTAGTCAATATTTTAATAATAGGCCTACCAAAGTAAAAAAAAATACAATGAGGCTAATTATTTGATAGTGATCGCTTAGGCTATATTCAGATGTAGCCTATTAATAAAATATTTGCTTCATAAATCATGACATATTCACCTCTCTTTTGTGAATCGTTGTCGCTTATAAACCAATATGCTGATAGTGGTGATGATCCTGGCCCTAGTATTAAGCATATACTTTGTACCTGTCTGATTGAAACTAGCCTGCACTTTGTGGTATGGCGCCCTACTTTGCATATTTAGATTCATTCACCCGTAGATTTTACAGCGAGGGAGGGGTAAATGAAATTTATGGATGTTTGATAAAGAATCTTAGGCTAAGTTTACGTCCTGTAATATGTCTGAGCTTGGGAATTTGTGTAGGTGGATATACGGTTGTATATCCGCCATGTACATGTTGACCTTCCTGTAAAGCCGCAGCGAATGACGTCATCGCGCAGCGCATTGAAAAGCGACCCACTCCTTCCGTTCCTTCTCATTCGACCTGCAGTTTCTCACGTAGTGAGGCGGCTCCTGTTTTTGAAAAGGTAAATGTTGTTTACTAATTTGTAATAATTTTTTTTGCTGTTTTTGTAAATTGAACATACCCATATTAGCCTTTATAGCACGCGAAAAAATTCTCTGATGGCTAGAATTAGGTATTAAATGAAACGTTAAAACAAACCTAGGTTCTGCTGACCTAATTCAGCGATGTAAGCCTAAAATTATTTGTATTGTGCTGAAGTAAAACGGAGTGAAATGTTTTATTCACTTCATCGTAATCATTAACCGTAATAATTATGTAACGCTAACCCAGAAAACAAGGCATGGATGTAGCTGCATTTGAAGCCAGTCCTTAAGTAGGTCAAGGAAACAAAAGCGTGGAGTTCGGTGCTACAAAATGGCGCCGACAGAAATTAAGGCTAGGTTAGTTAGCTTAAGATAGCTATCTTAGCTTAAGCTAACAACGTTATTGTGTCACTAACATCCATGCTCATGGTCCGTATTAACCAAATAATTATGTATACTGTTAAAACTGGTGATTTTAGGTGTTTGAACCTTATTATTCATTAATTTTTGTAGCAAGTTACACTTAAGATGTCTGACGAAGGTAAACTGTTCATCGGAGGCCTGAGCTTCGAGACCAACGAGGACTCTCTGGCTGCGGCCTTCGGGAAATACGGAACGATCGAAAAAGGTAAATCGTCGAAGCCTCTTGTTTTGGCAAGAAATTAAATATGTTCCCGCCAGTTTTTTTTCTATCGATTGACGATGCATAATATTCCCTTAACGTATGCATTTATTTTCTTTTCATTAGTCGATGTCATCCGAGACAAAGAGACGGGAAAGTCTCGTGGTTTCGGCTTTGTGAAATACGATAATCCCGATGATGCTAAAGATGCATTGGACGCCATGAACGGCAAGGTAGCGTCCTTCAACACTTTTTTTTTTCATAATCGATTAGTGGTAGGAAACAAATTGACTTTGCTTAGCGTTTAATTTAATGTCTTTAAAGGATTGTGTTGTCCCCAACTTGATAAAACCACCTCTGTGTTGTAGACTCTAGATGGTCGTGCCATTCGCGTGGATGAGGCAGGAAAGGGAGGACGCTCAAGAGGTGGTTTTGGTTCAGGCCCACGAGGTGGCAGGTTCAGTGGACCCAGGGGTGGAAGAGGTGGGCGTGGTTACTCACGAGGTGAGAACTTGTTACCAGAAATACATAAATTTTTTGTTAAGTGTCGATTTATCTTTTTTCGATGTGGATGGCTTCCAGGTGGATACAGTGGAGACAGGGGTTATGGTGACAGGAGCTATGGCGACAGAAGCTTCGGAGGTGGAGAGAGGAGCTTTGGTGGTGGTGGATACAGGAGTGGAGGTTACTCCTCAAGTGGCTACAGAGATAACAGGTAAGTAAACTTTATGAAGCCACACTTGAGACTTGTGACAAAATTAGATTATTGCATTATGTAACTTTTTTTAAATTAACTTCCAGGGGTCAGGGTGGCTATGGTGACCGGTCTGGATCCTACCGTGATGCATATGACAGTTATGGTAAGCATGATTGATATGCATTTGTACTGTGTATGTAGACTTATGTTGGGGCTGTCATTGCCAAATTTTTAAGATAACTCTAAACATGCATTTTAGGTTAGTCTTAGTTTACCTTAAAGTAAATCTTAATATTCCACTAAAGCTGTACAAAAGTTAAATACGGTAGGCTGATATTTTGAAACACTAGGCATCAGATATTGGATTTAAGACAATTTGCAGCCCCAGCATATAAGGCCTAATACCATGTATGCCCCTCAGTTTTGTACAGGAGCCCAAGTTGATTCCTCAGTCTATATGGTTGCCTAATTTTGCTAGCACCCACTCCAATGTGGACTAAGAGGCTGGCAAATACTGAATGTTACCTAAGCAACTATTGCTCGTATCTCTGCTGATGGAGCCCTTTATGCAAAAAGAGGGTGGGTTTTTGGACTGTCTGGTGGGTTGAAGGGGATGTTGTGAAATTCCAGTGTTGGAACTTTAAGTGTCTTTACCTGTGTGCCCACTTCTTATCCTCAGCTACAAACGACTAAACATCTCCCTGATTCAAGATCTTCACTTGGCTGGCTGTATTTCAAAGATGCGCTCCTCAAGAAAAATGTCCACGTGCTATTGTTGACCTTAGTTTTGTAGTTCTGTTGTAGTGGCTCAAGCATATTAAAAATGTAGCCATGACTTTTGGTCATTCCTTAGCAAACCATGTCACAAATTACACTTCACCAAGACGAATACCTTGCTTGATTGGGCATCTTTATTCCTTAGTTTTAACTAAAAGGCATTTGTAATCTGGTAGTACTGCAAGTCCCGACTTTGGGCCATCAGCTCTCCACGCGGCTTCTCACTGAACAGCTGCTAACACTGCTGTAGACTGTCAAGCACGTTAGTGTTGCCTGAGCTTGGGTCCTTTAGTTTTTGTTTTTTTTGTTTTTTTTTTTTTGATTATAATGACTCATCCAATGGGGTTTTTTACGGGTTCCCTTCCCCCCCCATTCAAGTCTTTAACGGACCTACCTCCTGCCAAGTTTTAAACTGAGTAAGGAAAACTCCGTTTACTCTTAAACAGACTTTTGGGGGATTTTATGCTAAATTCCTTTTACTATTAAACTTTAGCTGAGGCGCCTGTGTGTTCAATTTCCCAAAAGAGTGAATTCCTTTCAGACTGGTGAACTACACATCCGAAGTGGCCGGCTGTTCATGAAGTTGCAAATTGCAGCATGCTACAGTCTGTCCAAGGTATCTTCTGTGCTCTGCTCGACATCTGCATTTTAAATGTGCTGTAACATGGACTAATCTTGTGATCAAATTGTAACTTCGTTTTCCCCAAAGTAATTTCTTCACCGGGAACCGTTTTGTACTTTGTGTTCTTTGTATGATCAACTTTTTTTTTTTTGGTCAGTTTGGCTTCATGGAGCCTATTAAACAGAATGTGGAAAATGATCTTGATTCCTTTGCCTTTCAAAACACCACATGGGAGTTTGAGAAAAGCTGTAGGCTCATGTGCTGCGTGAGAACTGAGAAAGTATTAAATTTGCATAGATGTCTTTGGAGAAGTTTTAAAAAATTGGCAGTTTAGTCCAAGCTAAATTGGGTTGATTAAATATGACAGAGCAGGCTATGCTGCAATTTGGCCTTTTTAAAGAAATCCGCTTTAAAGTTGTGAATTCCAGGAAACCGAAGTTTTTTTTAAATTTATTTCTCCCCTCCCTGCAGTGACTAAACCTATCGATTAGTCAGTGTGTTGACAGGCAACTTGGTGTACTGAAATTCTAGTGAGGTTTCAATAAGCCCTAACGTGCTACATGGAAATGCTGGGAAAACATCACTTGGTTTCTGGTCATGTTAATGCTCCATTACGTTCAAGAAGTCAGCTACTTCAAAACCCTACAAGTCCTTGGAGAGAAGTGTTGCGCCTACCATCAGAGATGAAAGCTGCTCTCTTGCCTAGGTCAAATGTGGAGAAAGTAGGCCAATGCACGTGAGGTAAAGATCTCCTTTTGCTCCTTTGCTCACATCCTTCAAACTCAGATCTCATTATTTCCATGAATACCTTCAAGTTAGTCGCTGTGTTTAGCCCTCTGCTTCAGATGTCTCCTACAAACTTGCCATGGCCTCTTCCTCAGTTCTGATTCTCAAAGACGAGTCCATTGAGTGGGGTGGAATTTTTTATCTTCTGGATTATAGTGCTTCAACTCCTGAGTCCCCTCCCCCAAAATGCATTGGTCTCTTAAGTCTTGGGTAGTATTGTGCTCAGTCCACTTCTGTTCACTGCATTAGTGCTCAAATTTGCTCAGTAATGTCCCACGCCAGTCCTAATTGATACGTCTAGACTGTGTTCAGCTTTTTACTTTGCACCTTTTAAGTGAGTTTCAGACTCAAGTGTTGCATGCTGATTTCATTTGATTTTTTTTTCCAAGTGTTAATTGCCAAGCTTAACCAATTACTTCTTTCTCTTTAGACTGAATGGATTCTTGGATGCTTGACTGGTTCTCCTGGCAGCTGAGGTGTGACTTCAGATGGAGGTGGCTGATTCAGATGCCAGGTATGTAAAGTCTTGTCAATTTAGTTTTTGTGCTTTGTTTGGTGGTGCATACAAAACCTACCAGGATTTTTACAGTATTATTCCTATTGCAGATCCAATATGCAGCAGCGGTGGCGCAGCTGTAAGAAGTCGCTACATAGAGGAAACATGGTGACTAAAAGTTGAAGGCTGTTTTGAATGGCAGAGGGCTTGCCTGAGAAATGCATTTTTCAGATGTTATGACTGTTGCTCATTTATATCTAAATGAGAAATGGATAGTAAAATAGACACGTGCTTTAAGAACATGTTGGGTAGCCTATATTAAAGTAATTTGATGCACTGGACACTTGAGTGTGATTGTTTGACAACCATTAAACTGCCTTCATTTCTTAAGCAGGGGATCGGCCTCAGAACCAAATTACCTTGACCATGATTGATTCATTACATCAGTAAAAGGGTAAAACATCAAGGGGTGAATAGTTTTAGGCACTATAGAAGTACAACATAGGTACACCCCATATTTTGAGTTTATCATATTTAAGAATTCATTGCTATAACATTGTAGAAAAGTAAAAACATGCATGTCATGGTTTCTTTAATCATTACAGCAAGAAATCCCAAAGCAGAAACTCAAGTCAATTAATATCAGTTCAAAACTGTGTTCATCAATTTAAGACTGAACAGATCATGTTAATTGCTATTGTAAGCAGAATATTGGTGGCAGTCTAGTTTTATCAAATTGTTTTAAACAAGTGCACCTTATAAGCTCAGTGGATGACAGTGTACCAGTAATGTAACAAAAAAAAAAAACTTGGACGGAGTGAAGTTGTATGGTGCGTAAAATGTGATGCCTATACAACCGAACTTGGGTACAGGTATGTGTATAAACTGAAAACATGACAAGTAAACTAGGTTGAGGTACACAAAAAGATACTTTTAATATTGAACATTTACAAACTGAATTGAGCGGGGGACTCAGGTCCACATTGTACTGTCTGCGGAAGGTGTGGAGCTTGGGGTGGTCTTGGCGGTGTTTACGTGTACCACACAAAGCCAAAACGCTTATGCAGAAGCTCTTCACGGGGCCGGAGGTTGAACAATTCCTCTGACAGAGGAGTGACCCAGCGGTCGGTGTGGAAGACTGTCTCTCCAACCTGCAAACGTGTTGGCAACAGATTCTGCATCAGCACAGGCAACCACTGTACTGTGTAAGGCCTAAATACTGCTGATAGGATACTAGCATAGCGAGGTTACTGTACTACTGCCAGGCAGCTTCGACTGGTAATTATTTTATCCATTCAAAATGTTTGGGGAAAATGCTTTTGCCAAAGAGGTTATTTTACACAATTTCATGCATTGTGTCAGGCTTGTCTTTTAACAAGCCTTTTTCAATATGTTCCGAAACTAAAACTGATGCCATGTATAAAGTGTACTGTACCAATAAAGCTTACTATTGTCAACATTTAGTTGTATATGTCATTAAGAACTAGTAGAAAAAAGGATCAAGTTTGTGTATACAGCTATGACTACAGTGGCATTAGCTTGCTATGAAGACCAATTTTACAGTTTGAAAGTGATAATATAAATTTTACTGAATTTTTTTTAGCTACAGAAATATATATTGCTGTTTTGATGCAGTTCAGATGTGGTTAAGAAACTGAACAGCTACAAATTTAAATTGGAAATTTGCATCAGTTAGGCTTGACCTGTGAAATGTTGGCACAGTCACATTATTTGAAAAAATCTTAAAGTATGAAATTACATGTTTGAGGAACACCTAAAGAAAAAAAAAAGCCAACAGGGGTGCCCTTAACCCACCTCTGCATCAGTATTTCAAACATTACTGTGGACCCACAATAAAGATAAACTCAGAACCTCTTTACCTTCCAACCTGGAACATCTTTCATGATTATTGCTTCCTCTTCTAAGTTTTCCCTCAGCATCCTTAAGGTTCTGGAGGAAAAGGGTAAAATGCAATAGTTAAATAAGAAGCTAGTCTGTGGTTGTAAAGTGTAAGCATTTTTTTTTCTTAACTGTCACCTTCGGTCATTCTCTGCCTGCATCAGGGGCATCAGCGCTATCCTGGCTTCTAGCTCCTCAATCAGCAAGCGCCTGCAGTACACATACATATATATATATATATACACACCACTTCAGTGCTAGTTTCAGCCTGACTGTGCAAAACCAAAAGCAACAATTACAAGAAATGTTCCTACCTCCTCTCTCTGTTCCACTTAAATAACCTCCAGTACCCAAACGCCATGATGGCGATGCCAAAGCCAAACATGGAATATCCTGGTGATTAAGGAATGAATTAGTTGCAACTGATGGCAGCATTTACTACAGTTGATTTCATGATGGGTTTTGTTTAACACCCCACATTATCAGGTTCAGAATCAAAATCAGTCTACTAGATATTTACACTACTGATAAAAATGCTTGTGAACAAATTGTGTTCAAGTACTATATTCAAAATGTTCTTGTTTCAGCTTCTCATCTGTTTTTTCTGAAATTACCTGCAACCCTCCACCTCCAAAAAGCCTTCAATCATTCACTTTTTTCACCAACTGCAAATTGTCTGTACAATGGCAGACCGGTTCTAAATATTGCTAACTGCAGAACAAATAACCTGCAGCAGCTGAAATGTACACATCAGTGCTACCAAACACAAAGAGAGCAATAGCTTTGACAACTGCACAGGTGACATGATGACACTCAGAGCAGCATGGATTCCATACTCATCACAGTATTCAACTAAAAATGCTTTGGGTAGCATCAGGAAATCAACATCTGCATTTACAGCACCACAGCTGGACATGCATCTGTACAGTATATCTAAAACGGTGACTACTCGATTATGTTTTTGTCATGGCAGAGCCTGACTTTAGGTGCTTCTCATCAATATCGTTGAGGAAAAACTAGACATTAGTTCAGACTCTGAACTTACTAAAGGTTTCATTAAAGTAGCTTTACACATTTTCAATTAGTGTTTTTTGATTGTATTATTTGGTTCCATATTTTGATGTATTTGCATGCCAATCTTTGTGCAATAACATTATGTTACAGACTGAAATAAATTTAACTGTTACTTTCATTTTTTAATATAGCCTAACTTATGGAAGAATGTGGGCAGAAAAGACTCCACTCACAACCTGTTTTATAACAGTACCTGGTTACAGCTAAGTTTTTTTTTTCCTTTACCTGATTAGGGATTTCACCTACACCGATCAGGCATAACATTATGACAACCTGTACCATCCGTATCAGAATCAGCTTTGTTGGACACACGAGGAAGTTGACTCTGGTACAGCGGCTCTCAATGTGTACGTACATACAGTATCAACAAGCAAAGGAATGTACATTAGGAAAAGAGATAAAAAGAATAAGAGTAAAAAAAGTACTTATAGAGACCTGTAAATACATACATACATGTGTATATATACAGTCAAGCCCGAAATTATTCATACCCCTGGCAAATTCTGACTTAAAGTTACTTTTATTCAAACAGCAAGTATTTTTTGACAGGAAATGACACAGGCGTCTCCCAAAAGATAATAATATGATGCACAAGAGGCATCATTGTGGAAAAAATATTTCTCAACCTTTATTTACATTTGAACAAAAAGTGGCATGACTCCAAACTTATTCATACCCTTTGCAAACTGTCAGTCTATGAGAAAATCCAAAGTTCTATACCATTCCAAATAGTCCAAGCTGTTCTAAAGCATCCTAATTGCACTGATTCATTGGGAACAGCTGTTTTAATCAACTCAACAGGTGAAAAACAGAAGCTCTCTGCTGTTGGCTTGTGGACAGTCATGGCTAAGACAAAGGAGCTCACTGAGGACCTGCATATTGTGGCTTCTCATAAGTCAGGCAAGGGCTATAAGACCATATCTAAATGTTTTGAAGTTCCAGTGGCTACAGTGCAGAGTATTATTACAAAATACAGGATGTTCTGCACTGTGAAAAATCTCAGAGGATGTGGTCGGAAGCCAAAAGTGACACCTGTGCTGGCCAGGAGGATAGTGAGAGAGGTAAAAAAGGATCACCAAGGCCATCCTGATTTACAGGTATTATACAGAGGGTCAGTGTACTGGACTACATGATATTCAGAGGTGTCACACAACACCGCCTTTAACTATAACCTCAAAAATGAACATATCATTGAATTTATACATTTATGACAATATCACCAAAAACTGGAACATTTTGAGCTTCAAACACAAATGTTAAGGCAGAAGTGTTGCATTGAAGTGCATACAGATGTACAGGTGGTCATAATGTTATGCCTGATTGGTGTATATTATTACTGCAAATGTTTTTATCATGGCCACCAGCTGTGCAGTGTCCACCACTGCTGGCTGCACAGCAGACACACCTCACCTGTCGAAATTTAGTCAATTTATAATAGTGGCACAAAATCTGATGGGTCACAGATTAAGTCTGACCTATTAGGCCCTGGGCTTTCACACAACAAATGAACAGACAGCCAAAGCTGAACTGAACAGCATTACGTAACTAGAACAATCCAACGTGACTAGAACAATCCAACATAACTGAACTTGCAATGAATTAAGTGCTAACATTAGCGTTAACTAGCTAGCAAGTAGTACAAAACTGTCAAATCACCAACTAAAATAATGTAATACACTTAAAAGACGCCGGTTTGTTTCTCCATGCCTCAGGCATCAACTTAAAACCCACCAACAGATTTAGCATTATAATTTTAGCAAACAAGTATATTTCTTTTCTACTGACGATGATTGGTTAGCATTAGCTGCTGTTCATTAAGTAGCCAATGTCACAAAATCTGTGATTATTTATACATTTGTTTGTGGATTCATATGTTTAACTAAATTAATATGTGGTTTATGTACCTGAAAATCCTCGTTTTGGTAAATTTCTCTTATAATCAAAGGGAGCATAGCCTCCCGGAGGAGGCATGTCCTGCTTCACCTTGGACCCCGCCATCTTCCTCCAACCTTCCCCCAAACACCAAATCGGCTCTTCTTCTCTCGTAATAAAAAGCTGCGATGGCCCTCTACCGCCTCCTTCTTCTTATGATGGTGTTTATTGGCGGTTTGCAAGCCAACCTAAGGTGCATTACCGCCACCTACTGGGCTGGGGTGTGGACAATAGAGCCGTAGGAATATATATTCATAAAATAAAAAAGTTTACCGCATCCTCCTGTCCGGATGGAAACTACTTATTTTCCATTTTATGACGCTGTCAGCTGATTGAATATAGTTGTTTTTGAATATTTTGACCAGTTTTAGGCTCATTCCAGTGATGTATCCATGCCTGCAAAGAACTGAAAGTTACATGTTAGCAGAGATGTTATGTTGGTCAAAGTAATAGTCTTTTGTGTCAGTGGAGTACAACCCTTTAAAACCATTAACAACTGCATCAAACATTTACACAGACCTAAACATGTAAGCAGCATTGCAATCTTGATAAGGTAAAGCTAACTACTTCATATCCTGATGG